CTGGGCTCACTTAACATGTGAAAGTCATAAAGAAAAAGCAATAACACGTTACTTTAACCTTTCAATAATAACTGCAACTATTAAGTTTTCTTAGATTAGTCAGTATTTCAAATTATTATCGATAATTAATTACCTTTCTGGTTATCTTTTAGAATGATCAGCAATTCTGCAGGCCATGCGTGTAATATTCTGTATCTATGCTTTGAATTTCGTAGCTTAAATTTTATTTTGAAACATTCTTAAGTTGACAATTGACATTATCTGTCATAAACATAAATTAACAGTCAAGTATATATGTAAGCATAGACTATATTAGACATGTATCTATATTAAAGGAATGATGGAAGATGGTGATACTCTTAAATTAATATAATTATTCATACTACTACTTTTTTTTTTTGGGACAATTTTAAAAACTATGTTCGAAGATATATTTGCAAAGCAGGTATAAAATAGATAATTGACTTTAACTTTACTCAAATTCAAAGATTAAATATAAATTAATTTTAAACTGTAATATATTTAAAAAAATTTATACTAATCTTGGAAATGAATACTTTTATAATTAATTTATGATAAAAAATTATTTTAAAATTTAAAAAATCCATGAAAATTAAAACTAAATGAGCAATTTAACTGAGAAGTGATTTATGAATATTAATTTATTACATAGCTATGGATAATCCACGCGCTTAGGTAGCAGTGGTCGTATGAAGGATTGGATTGAGCGGGTCATCCGCTGGATGACGCAGTAGCAAGTTGCCGGTTGCAGGCGCGCCACGTGGCCAAATATCATGACTCGCTCTCACTCCAGTTGGAGGATCGCCGTCTGATGTTTTCTTTTTTTTGTTTCTGAATGAACAACCCATGACCTTCAGTGAAGTGGGTCCCTTTTAAGACGCTCTCGTGGGCCTTCCCGAACCTAACTGCTTTGGTTCCGAACTACCAATTTGAATTTTTTGAACGTTACTCCGGTGGTGCTCGTCACTCTTTTTGTCCAATTCCCGACTATGCCCTCATCCTTTTTTTTTTCTTTTTAGTAAAGTTTGCCTTCATACTTTTGTGTCTGATATCATGTCCGTTCCTCCTTGTTATTTATGCATTAAACTTTCATGAATCACGATCCCATTTCGACATCCTAGGAGCTCTAGGGATAAGGTTCAATTTTAGGAAAAATACTTGTTTGTATATTATAATCGATATGTCATCGAAAAATGACTTAAGATTAAATAATGTGAAACAAAAAAAGTCTTAAAATTTGATTTACATTAATGGTCATTTATTAGTAATTCACATGCAAATATTGTTATAAATCTTTATGAAATTTATGACATACTTTAAAAATTTTAAAAATAATTTTTTTTCTCTTTTGAACTTTCATGTAATAAATAATAATACAATACCATATATATATTTTTATACTCTGTGTTATGTTTTTAATAGGTTAGTGCAATAATCTCACCGGACATAAATTTTTCCCCTACTTTAGGAAGCAAATCCTACGAAACAGATGCAAATAATTTGGATGAGATGGCCACAAACAATTGATGATCAGTTTTAATTTCATCATTATAACTTGGAGCCTGTGGAGGTAGCTGTTTTCCAACAACCATTGCACTAACCGAAAGGGAACGTCTACCAAATTGTGTGGATGCATGGCCATTCATTTTCAAGTTATTAGACGGATTATTAGATTACAATATACGATGTGAACTTTGTGAATGCTTGCTTTCAAGCTTTTCAACTTGCTCAAGCCAAGGTTGGTGGTACATGCCAAATTCTCTGTAGTCTATATACTTTTCGTGACTTAGAAACTTAACCGCATTTAATTCATGGATGTGTCGATATGGTAAAAACTACATATTCTTATATGCCTAGTTTTATAAATAAATAAAAAATTATATTGTTTCACTGTTCATAAAAAAAATTCAAGTTATTATTTTTTTTTGGGTAAACATTTAAGTTATTATTTAACTATGTATTGATGTATCATTAAATAAAATTTAACTACGATAATAATTAGTATAATTCTGTTGTATTATTAGTATAAATATTTTTTACGTTATCATCCAATATTAATTTGATATTTTGTTTAATAAATTTGATTATATTAACAATTTTACGAGATGTCAATTTTATTAAATAATTTCATAATGTATCATTAGATGTAATTATAAAAAAATTTAGCTGATAATATATCAACATTAAATTTCATAAAAAATAAACCTCTTTTTTAAAAAAGTCATACGCTGTTCATATTATGGTACATGGTGTGGCACTCTGTAAAATTAACACACCGTCGCATACGAATTCAGTTAACGTTAATTTGTTAAAATACAAAAGTACTTTTATAATTAATTTGTTAAATGCACCTAAAAGTGGAGGGGCGATTATGTCATTTGAGTCTCAACCTTAAAGCCAAATACAAGCAAGTAGGGGTGTTAACGAGTCGAGCCAAGCTTTGCTTTTAAAAGATTAAGTCTGTATTTAAATAGATCAGTTTGTCTTATTTACAAAAAATAAAAGTCTGATCTAGCCTGTTAACCTGCTTTAAAAAAATAAGACACTAAAAATTTATTCAAACAAAATATATAATCAATAACACTAGTAATTCAATAAATATTCATAAATTCAAGGTATATCCAAACAGCATAATATAGAACAAAATCATTCAAAAACTCTGTTTAACCAATAAAATGGAATGAGGAAAAAGCGAAGACTATTACAAGTAGTATAAAAAATATAAAATATAAATATAAAATAATATACTAAGTCGGCCCGAGAGACTCTAATGCCGAGCTTTTGAATTGGAGCATGAGGCCTTTTTATCAAACGAGCTTTTATACAAGTTCAAACTTGGTGCCAACAACTAATTTTAGACATGTATATGACTTCACGAGCCGAGTCAAAGGCCCTGAAAGGCCCCTGACTCGTTTAGCACCCCGTGAGCAAGTATCTTATCGTTACAAAACTATCAAGATCATATTCTTATAGCATTAGAAAAGTCATGCTTACTTTACCAAAAAGAAAAAGAAAAAGAAAAAGAAAAAAAGCCATGCTTAATTTGAATTCCAGAGGCAAGGGGACCTAGCTACTAATGGGCAAAATGATAATTGTGAAATACAAAGATAGGCTTGACCAAACGTGGTGTTTTGTGGGTGAACATTGACGAAGCAGACAAACTCAACCACCCCCAACCTCTCTTACGGAACTTTTCAGGTGTTAACGCCAAAGGAGGTTTTTTATTCCGTCAAGTTAGTTAGACAAGAGATGGCACTTCACTTTTCTTTTTCTCGATTATTCTATTTCTTTACTTTCATATTATATAGAATAAGGTTGAGTTGTGACATTAAGTGACTGTCATAATGTCATGTCCCTTAAATTATACACTTGAAATTTGTTTAAGAATAAAAGGTTACATCAACAACCAATATAATATAGGGAAATATTTTTCTCATTTCGTTGGAGATAGCTATCTCATGCTATACACCCATCGAATTTTGTGCCAGCTTTTTCCATTTCTTTTTCCTTTATTTTAAAGTGTAGACCCCACATATTTATCTCTCACACATGAGAGAACTATCTCAAGCAACATGAGATTAATAACTCCCTATAATATATGTACTAGGGTCAAGGCAGACCATGCCCGAAACGCATTGTTTATACTTGCAACGTTCATATTTCGATGGAATCCTTAAACTGGAAACTTGGAATAAAAGAGAAGAAAATAATCTGAGAGAACGATGGCAAAAGCCTTCATGTGCACAAGTCGGTTCTTGATGAAGTCGGTGGGTGGATGAGGACAGGTCCATGATTTTCAATGGAACAGTAAAAACGGAGCACTTAATATCCTAAAATCAAAGCAATATCATTAACGGTTTGATGGTTGGTCACTTGATAATTATCAAAATTAAAGCATCATACGAAGGCTATGCATTACACATAAGAGCCCGAGCAATACAAACTATTGATATTTTACTATTTTAGTATAACAAAAAATGAACATTCCTTTAATTGGTTACAAAACATCATGAAATTGTTTCAAGTAAATCATTGCGTTTGTAACCAAAATGTAAATCATTGCATTTCCTTTTGAGAAATTATTTTTTGGTGGTCTTTTTTGCTTTGTTTTTTTTTTTTTTTTCAACTGCAGCACAAATAAATAGTTTTGACAAACGTTATCCGCAAGTAAAGGGGGCAAAAATCTAGGCCATTTCATTTCCATAGTATCCAAAAATAAAAAAATCCAATAAGATATATATATTTTTTTATAAATAAGCTAGAGATATCCCCACTAGGCACATCCATAAAATTCCAAAAATTTAGCAAATCCTTGCCAACTAAACTACTTTAAGACTTAATTGTATATCGCCTAAAAGGATATACAGATATCCAACCAAGATCAGCCATCAACGTTCTGCAGATTCTTTTTTTGGTGAGGGGAAGAAAAAAAAAAGTAAGTGAAGCACACGCGCTGTAAAACGAAGTGACTGCTCCCGTGTGAAACAAATCCATAGGAAAACATAAATACTAAATTTCGTGATTGGAGGTTTGGGACTAGGTTCGGAGTTGAGCTGAGGGAAAAAAAAACAATAGAACAAAGTGGACTGGGGAGTATAAAACAGATTTGGATACTGAAAGAAAGAGAAGTAACTGTTGTGCTGTACGAATATCACTTTGTATTAGTAAAGAGAAAAAATAAAAGCTAAAGGTGATGGAGAATAAGGAAAGAAATCTCAACAATACTCTCAATAGCATGATGAAACATAATATCTGAGAGAGAACGATCACACTTACACGCTTTTAAAAAAGAAACTTCTTTCGTTCTTTCTTTCTTTCTTTCTTTGTTCTCTGTTCCTCACCTTAGATTCTTTTTTCTCTCTGGAAATCCAGCGATGGATGAGATTGTGCAATGTTGATCAGCTGGATTGTTCAGCTCAGTCTCCGTTGAAGGATTCAAAGGCCAGCTCGTGATTTGGTCACTTTTTGGTGTCCAAGTTATGGCGGCATTGTCCTTTTCGGTGGCTTCGGTTGTGGAGGATGTGCTACAACAGCATGGCACTCGTCACAAAGATCTTGATTTGGAATCTAGGAAAGCAGAAGAAGCTGGTAATTTCCTCATTATTTTTCTGGGTTTTCATAAAAATTCAGTTATGGAATTGGAGATAATAATAATAATAATATTCATTTTCTGGTCTCAAGTCTCGAGTCTCTTTCTTGTATCTCTTCCCTTGCACCAATGATCTATAACTTTTCTGTATTTCTTTGTTTCGGGTCTGATCACCGTTAACTCATTCATGTTTTTATGTGAATGTACTTGTTTATCATCTTTTTCACTATGATGGTTGCTTTCACGGGAGGCTGAAGAGTTTCAATTTTTTTGCAAAGAAAAGCTATCTGGATTTTGTATTAGTTATCCTGAAATGGGAAATCTTTAATGTGCAGCATCCAGAAGATATGAAGCAGCAGGGTGGCTGAGAAAAATGGTTGGAGTTGTTGCAGCTAAAGATTTGCCAGCAGAGCCCTCGGAGGAAGAGTTTAGGTTTGGTTTAAGAAGTGGGATTATCCTCTGCAATGTTATTAATAAGGTTCAACCTGGAGCTGTACCCAAGGTGAGGTGGATCCTAGTTAAATTTAATTTACACTCAGGTTTCGGTTATTGTTTGTTTACAATGTTTTCTTCTTTTAAGGTTGTGGAGAGTCCTGTTGATTCTGCACTGATCCCCGATGGGGCACCTTTATCGGCATATCAGTATTTTGAAAATGTGAGGAATTTCCTGGTGGCTGTTCAAGAAATTGGACTTCCTACCTTTGAGGCATCTGATCTGGAACAAGTATGTAAAGCATTAGATACTTATTACTATTTTTTTTTCTTTTAAACTTCGAATTTGTATCATGGTGCATTGAATTGAATTGAATTGTTAATAACACCAGATAATTCATTAGCACTTAGCGAATTTGTAAACTCTGGAAGTTTAATAATTTATTGTTTTGTTTTCCTGCTAAATCATTGGTTATTTCTCAGGGAGGAAAATCATCCAGGATTGTGAACAGCGTCTTAGCCCTTAAATCCTATTGTGAATGGAAACAGACGGGGGCAAATGGTGTGTGGAAATTTGGCGGAACTCTCAAACCCACTATCTCTGCAAAATCTTTTGTGAGAAAAAACTCGGAGCCATTTACGAATTCTTTGTCAAGGACTTCTTCGATCAATGAAAAATCTCTGACTACTCTTAACTCTGATGTGGAGTATAATAAAATGGTAGGTAAGCTTGATTACCTGCTCTGGATTTGTCTGGTTGAACAGAAAGAATAACTAACGGAATTTTTTACATTCCTATTCTTGCAGTCTGGTTCCCATTCCTTGAGTATGCTTGTTCGGGCAATCCTATCAGATAAGAAGCCTGAAGAAGTTCCGATGGTAAGGGGATATGTAGTTCTATATGTTTCACAATTGAATTTCATCCTAATTTTACTATTCAAGTTAGACCTTATAGATTATGAATCTATTAAATTACTTGAGACTCTTAGCCTCTACTCCGTTAAAATGCATTTGAAAATTCTGACATCATGAAAAGGTACTCTTTGTTAAAATGCATTCGGAAGTGCGTCCCAATTGCAGAGTTTGCACTCCCATTACCAGTCTCCCGCTGCTTCAGTTTCATCTAATCACCCATAATACCAAGTCTAAGAGTGCCTATGAAACTACTTGCTTTTAAGTAATATTTTTCTTCCTCTGCATGGTACAGTTGGTTGAATCTGTTTTGAATAAGGTTGTTGAGGAGTTTGAGCATCGTATTGCAAGCCAAAGTGAACAGGTATGACACTTTTCACCTCCTAGTAATGTCATTAGTTTTTAGGTAATTGGCCGGTCATATTATCTGCTATTTACCCCATTCCTAGATAATACTTGTCCTTGCTTAAGTTGATTTTCTCACAAGCTGTTCTTGTTTATTTCTTTATCTTGTAACTTACAGACAAAAATAACCACAAGAGATTCTGTTTCTCAAAGCAACGGGTCTGCATCAAAGTTTGTTATGGCAGATAAAAAGGTAACACAAATGTACCCCCATATTCTGTTTCTCAAAACAATGCTTTAATTCTTATAGTCATCTACTTTGTGATTGATTAGGTGGAGAACAAGATTCATGCTCTAACAAAGAAAGAGGATTGCATTCATAAAACCCGTATTGCTGCTGAGGAATCACAAAGCCAACTTCTGAAGCAGCAAATGCTCTCTGATCAGCAGCAAAGGGATATTCAAGTACAGAATCTCAGATGATAGCCACCATTTTAAGCTTTGCATTTTTTGACTACGTTAATTAAATGTTTCAATTCCTTACGTTTTTGTAGGACCTAAAACATACTCTTCACACCACAAAAGCTGGTATGCAGTTCATGCAAATGAAATTTCATGAGGAGTTCTACAATCTTGGTAAGGATATGTGATTCATTCATTTTAAGTTCTTTACTCTATTGTACCCTGCCTTTCTTTGTTGCCTTGTGATGGGTGGATGGGTACTGCATCTTATTTAACTTTTTTATTTTTCTTTGTAGGCATGCACATTCATGGCTTAGCTCACGCTGCTTCTGGATATCATAGAGTTCTTGAAGAAAATCGCAAACTATACAATCAAGTCCAGGATCTTAAGGGTAATAAGATTACTGGCTGGCTGGTTGCTTTATGCCTAACTCTCCCATTCACGTCTTTGTAAGGTTTTTTTAATCCTAAAACTTGGTTAAGGTGGGTAATTTGTTTGATCAGGAAGTATTAGGGTGTACTGTCGAGTAAGACCCTTCTTTCCTGGACGACCAAACCATTTGAGCACAGTAGAAAATATTGAAGATGGAACTATCACAGTTAACATTCCTTCAAAGAATGGGAAGGGACGCAGATCCTTCAACTTCAACAAAGTCTTTGGACCATCTGCAACCCAAGGCTAGTTTGGTTTTCAGATTCAATGATCTCCAGGATTTATATTTTATACTATGATTGAAATTATCTCCCCTGTGCTGCAGCGGAAGTCTTCTTTGATATGCAGCCACTTCTTAGATCTGTTCTTGATGGTTATAATGTTTGCATATTTGCATATGGACAAACAGGATCAGGAAAAACTTACACTATGGTAGTATCCAATTGAAGTTTTCTTCTGAAAAAAGAAATTGATTTTTTTAATGACCTTTTACTGATTTGTGTTGTTTATATGTAGACTGGACCAAAAGAGATCACAGAGAAAAGCCAAGGCGTAAATTATAGGGCTCTCAGTGATTTGTTTGATTTAGCAGATCAAAGAAAGGACACTTTCCACTATGACGTTTCTGTTCAAATGATTGAGATTTACAATGAGCAAGTCAGGGATCTACTGGTCACTGATGGAACAAACAGAAGATATCCTTTTCCCATTTATTTGATTCTCTTTTGAAAATAGTTATACCTTCAGGTCTTGTATAACCTCCTATTTGATAGACTGGCTATATAAGAGTAGGACGTCAGAAATTATAGAGCATACATAGCATTGACTGCTGCTTTGAATCTTTTTAATAAATATTGGTTAAGCTCTCAAGATGAAAACAACTTTTAATCATGATGCTTGCCCTTAACCTTTAATACATTAGAAATTCGTAGTAGTTCTCACAAAGGGCTCAGCGTACCAGATGCAAGCCTTGTCACTGTTTCATCAACTACTGATGTGATTGAACTAATGAACCTTGGGCAAAGGAACCGTGCAGTTGGAGCAACAGCCCTTAATGACCGCAGCAGCCGATCTCATAGGTATATCCAATTCATTTTCCTGTTAACCGCTCTCTTTTTTGTGATGGTATTTCTTGGACAGAGTTAACCATTGTCTTCTTAAAAACATCAATTTGGCAGTTGCTTGACTGTTCATGTTCAAGGAAGAGATTTGACATCTGGAACTATCCTTCGTGGATGCTTGCATTTGGTTGACTTGGCAGGAAGTGAGAGGGTAGATAAATCTGAGGCCACAGGAGATAGGCTAAAAGAGGCACAGCATATTAACAAATCTCTTTCAGCTTTGGGCGATGTCATCGCTTCCCTTGCTCAGAAAAACTCACACGTTCCTTACAGAAATAGTAAACTCACACAATTACTCCAAGATTCACTTGGTAAGGTTTAAGAAGTTGGTTTCTTAATGGGGTTGTAGCAACTATATTCTTTTCTGTGCCTGAGTTGTACAATTCTTTAGAATTCTCATAATGTTGGTTGCGTTTATTTCAGGAGGACAGGCTAAAACGCTAATGTTTGTTCACATAAGTCCAGAGATTGATGCTATTGGAGAAACATTTAGTACCTTAAAATTTGCAGAAAGAGTTGCTACAGTTGAACTTGGCGCTGCTCGAGTAAACAAGGATGGTGCAGATGTTAAAGAGCTCAAAGAACAGGTTGATAATCAAATCTAATATCTCTGGTTCTTCATAATAATCTTAGGAAAAAAATTTCCACTTCAATTATATCAAGTCTAACTTTTGAATTGTCTTTCAGATCGCCAGCCTTAAGGCAGCACTTGCAAGAAAGGAAGGGGAATCAGAATATTCTTTATCCGGCCGCTCTGAAAAATACAGGAAAAAGGCTGGTGAGGTATCACCTTATCATATAAACCAGCTGGCTGTTGATGTTGGCAACATAGAGGTATGTATGGTTGTATACTTCATTTCCTAGTGGTTTCTGGTAAAGAATTCTAATTTCTCCATTAAGGCATTAATGCAAAATGGTTTGATGTATTTAGAAAAAGCCATCCCCTTAAATTTAGTGTAGAGAATTTATATTCAGAATATTTAGATCTGAAGGGATGACATGATTTTGGAACAAACACATTGGTTACTGATAATTCAATGGGATCTTCAAAATACAGTTTTGTCACTTTTGCGTACTCAACTCCTTGCATTGTTTAGGAGCAAATACGTTTACTATTAAAACTTACGGGCCAACAAGCCATGCATGAAATGTTCTGAGACACCATTTATTGTTTAAGTACAATTGCGGGAATTTTACTTGAATACTGGTTTGAGAATGACTTCATCGCATTTACTGTTTGGATCTTTGACTCGAGGAGTGGTCTCTCCTGAAGAAAATTAGATCATGCATAATTTCTTTGGTTGTTGTTACTATTCCATGTTGAACTCGGATGGAATTTGAACTATTTTTCCTGCAGCTTCAGAGTAATACCCCATTGAGGCACAAAACTCAAAGCTTTGATTTTGACGAGATATCAGCAAATTCACCACCCTGGACCCCAGTGAACAGTCTTGGACAAAACCAAGGGGAGGATGATAAAGAAACTGGTTCTGGAGAGTGGGTTGATAAGGTCATGGTAAACAAGCTAGATGTAAACAAAACTGAGAACCTCTTGGGATGTTGGCAAGCAGGCAATGGGAACTTATCAGAGGCCTTTTATCAGAAATATCTCCAAGATTCTTCCAAAGTCTACACAGAACAATCATATAACATGTTCATGGGAGGCAACCAGTTTAATATTGCAGGTTCAGATGACATGGATGAGCTTGATGCTGCAACCAGTGATTCCTCAGAACCTGACTTGCTTTGGCAATTTAATCATTCCAAACTAGCCAGCCTTACCAATGGAGTTGGATCCAGGACTATGGTATCTGTCTCAAAGACAGCAAAAAGCCCAGAATTGAGGTAATGCAAGAATGGTTTTCTATTAAAATGTTTCTTTATATATTACTAAAAGTCAATTTCTGGTTTTCTTTTCCTCCTCCTATCCACTGGATATTAATAATCTTTTCGCAAATTTTCCCAGCAAGAATGCTGCAGTTCATTCTTCTCTTGGTCCTTCACCTTTATTGAAACGATCAAATAGTGTCTCACATCGAACTGGAAGGCATCCAGCTACAGTTGACGTGAAACGTAAAACTGGGAGTAGAAAGTAACCCATCTTATTGAAAACGTAAAAGGAGTGATGCTTTTTTTACATATATATTTTTTCATTTTTTTTTTTTCAATTTTTAAGATTGAGGGGAGAGAGAGCTTTTGCTATTATTTTCCATTTTTTGTTTGTTTGTAATTTGTAATCTCACACAGATAATGAAGCAATAATGCCTGTTGCTTTGCTTGTATCATGGCATTCTTTTATTTTAACACTGTAGCTTATAGGGGATGTAAAAATTTCAAATACCTAACTCTGCAATGATTTTATTTGTAACTTCTGATCAAATCAATTTTCTAGCTGCTGTCTTTTAAAAACTCATTCCTCTTTCATACTCTCATTTTTTGTTTTTGGCCTTGCGAGAACACCCGACGATAATTTTTTTTATGGGATTCCAAAAATTATTCAAAACTCTTACTAATTCATTCTTAATGATTTTTTATTTTTTATTTTTATAAGTTACGCATATGAGAAGGGTCTTTTATTAGCTTGGCAACAATTTGTATACCTTTTTTATGAAAAAGTCTAGAGGGAAAAAGCATGGAGATAGTTTGATTTGCAGTTTTTTTTGGATTTTAAGCTGATAAATGTTTTTTTGATCTTAGGTCCTTACCATCAATTGCAAACTTACTAGTTTAATTAGTAAAACACCTTCTAATGTATCAAAAAAAAAAAAAAAGTAAACACCTTCTATTATTTTTATTATTATTATAATGTTACATATTAAGTTTCAAGCCCAAGCACAAGGATAAAGATAGGTTAAAGCATAAGTAAAGGGGTTCAATTCAACATAGAAACCAAGCAACTCAGAAAGAGTTTTATACACTTGAGGTAAAGCTTTTTGACTGATCTACTTTTCTAGTCTCTTCCTTCAAACTGCTTATATTCTTAAAATAATTTTCTTCATTTTTGTTTACGTTAAATTATTTTCTTCTAAATTTTAACAGTTTATATTTCTAGTATCAAATTAAATTTTGCTTCCCCCCTCTCAAATCTCAGTTGATGCACTTCATCATCAAACCTCAACTCAACAAATCATTCTTTACTTCTTTTTAAAAATAAAAAAAAATTCAACTTTTTAAATTAATTATATGTGTATTTTTATAATTTATAATTATAATTTTTTTAAAGATTTTACCTGTCCTAGTTATGCATGCATACTTTCTAATTTGAAATTTTTCTTTTTGATATATTTTGAAATTATACTTTTTAAATTTTGTCTAACTTTAAAATACCATACACGACATACCTGCTAATTATTCACCTTAATGACAAAAACAAGAAATTAATAGCACGAAGATGTTTTTTAGAATAAGTGGTGGAGCCGGGATTGGAGGATAAAGAATTAATTTTTTGTCTTGCATGATATCATTATTTTCTTTACCTATTAATCTCATACATTCATGAAACTCATTTAGGTAATTTTTTATCAAAATATTAACTTTTAACAACATTTCAAATAAAAAATGTACTGTTGGCCGGTTCCAACAGACATCAAAGATAGTTTAAAGCAATAATTTTTTTTTTTTTAAAAAAGAGTGTCTTAACTAAAACAATGATTTTAACTACAATTTTTTAAAAAAAAAAAATTAAAAGACTGCAACCAAGTTGCCACAAAAAGTGAATCTTTTAAGTTAGAGCAAACTCTTTTTCTTTATATGAAACCATTATACAAAGAAAAACACAACCATGCAAATGAAAAGAGAGTCAAAGGGTGGCAAAAATGTCAAAGCTTTCATTAACCAAAACATAGCATACGAAAATAAAAAAGAAAATGCAGAAAAGGTTAAACATAACACACACTTTAAGTGAAGTGGAGGTAGATTTCAACTTGAATGTTGAACCAGAACTTCTAGAAGAAGCACATTTAATAGTAATAAGAGTACTATATTAGCCTTCAACTGCATTAAAAAATATTTCATTTTTTTTGGAAGGGGGAAGCGACGGCCGCCCACCCTAGCCTCCGCCTCCGTTTAGAATGTCAAGCTATCGCATGAGGGGGGAAAAACCTCTTTTTGAGTTAAAATTTCACCCTAACAACAACACTATTTTCGGAATACTATGGATGTCTATTCTGTTTTGGTCCAACAGAGAACATTATACTGAAGATATAAGATGCGAACTGTTTTAAAAGATTTTTTTTATTAATTATAACAATAATAAATTACTGAATTATTATTACTTTTACCATCTGAACCAAATAAATAACCCCATTGGCTTAGATGGGCAGATGCGAGCCACAAAAATAAGAAACTACGTAGACCAGGAATTTTTCTGTTTTCTTTTCCGTTTTTCCACTTACAGGTTAATGAACTGAGAGGAGAGAATGATAAACAATTAAAATTAAAATTTATGTGGCTAGACAATAGGCTATAGGGGTTTGTGGGGAAACCTGAAAGATTTATAATAAGTCATGCAAGATGGGATTGTGGATGTGGAAGTCCCAAAATAAACCTCTGGAACTTTCTAGTTAGACAACGAGCAAACATGTAGAGGACCCGGTGCATTGGTCCCTTTGTGAGAGAGGGGAGGAGAGAGGAGAGAGAAGAGAGAGGGGAGGAGAGAGAAGAGAGAGATAAAGAAGGAGAAGAGAAAAGGGGACCAGGGAAATAATTTCCTTAGACAACATGAATCTTTCCCTGACAAACCTTTTTTATGTAAGGGTTCAAATTACGATCGAATCCATCGTCTCCCAAACTAAACTCAAATATTATATGTATTTTATTCCTAGACTTAAGTAATTAGGGGCATATATTTATATAATTATTTCACAAGCTGACTACGAAGCGAAATAACGAGACCAATTATATATGGGTTTTATTAATCTCATGTTTAAGGAGATAAATTATCTCATGTCATAAATTTGTAAGTTCCACCACCTGAAAAAAAATGACACAGTTATCGAAAGGTGTGTAGGAAGAAAAACTTATCTCATGTAGCGTGAGAATAGTTTTTTCCATTATATATACACATATAACCATAAGCTTAGGGACAAGAGGAGATAACCATAAGCAAATTAGGTTGTTCATTGTTGCAAAGAGAGCAACTTCTGTAGTTGTAACCGTGGGTTGAATATGTCTAACGGTGCCATTTGTTATTATTCAGTGCTTGTGTTGAGGATAATGGACCCTAAAAGAGATGCAAGAAACAAGAATGAAAAAGAATGGATGAGCAATTATGTTATTTCATCAAGAATGAGTCCCACATCAGTTACAATTGGGATTCATTACACTGACTCCTAACAACCAATGGCTTCACCAACAACTCATGTATAATCCAAGAAAAATCACATTTCACCAGATTGAAATGCTAATTGCTAATGCTCCACCAATATTATTAAGTCCAATCTTGAATACTAAGGCCCAACAAAGAGGTATATGGATACAATGAGTGACACAAGAACTTATAAGCATGGGAAGAAGCAAATTTTGTATTTGAAAATATCGAAGTAATGGCTGCAGAATTGCATATGCAAAAAGTACCGGAAGAAACCAAATCGTGAATTTCCCTGCTTCATGTGCAATTGGAGGGTTTTGGCCTATGAAAACTAGTATCATTTCCATGTTGATCCAAAGGAAAGACAGTGGAAGACAAACCAAAATAAGAGAGAACATATCAGTGTATGTCTGTATTCCAATTCTTTGATATTGCTGAGCTCTATAAGCCTGTCCACAAATAGTTTCCAATCCACTAGCCATAAGCCTGTTCACAGATAGTTTCCAATGATGAAGGGTTGTTGGGCCCTCTGAACCCAAGACCTGAGCTTTTTGACCTCATGTTGAATTTCATCTCACCTTGTTCTCTGGAACCACTAATATGAGAGTGAGAGATTGGATGATCATTGAAGGAGCCAGTGGAGCTGACGCTAGAACCAGATACGGAAGCAGATCAGAAGGCAAGCCCCTGATCGTTGCTGAAGCTTTGGGCGGAAGAGACAGAGGGGCGAGGCAAGGAAAGCTCTCTCGCCGCCATCTGAATTGCAATACGAAAATTCGGAGGAAGATTTTCCCAAGATTATTGCATAAACTGCTGCAATTGAAAGTTGCTATCAGCAAATAGAGCTTGACGTTTATTGAAATGTTGAAATATTGAACCTGCGTCTTGAAGAACGAAAATGAGCTCAATGGACACTAATAGAGACACAAGAAACAAGAAGGAAAAAGAATGTTACTATAGTGACTAAACATATTCAATTTCATTGCAAATATAGTGATCTCATAGCACGTATTCAATTTCTTTATCTCATGTCTTTTAACTTATTTCAAATATTACTATACTTTAAAATGGTGCACCTATTTTACCTTGTTGTCGCAGTCGTACTAAAAAAAAGGTAAACCATGCTATGACCGCATTTCTAAGTTCTGATTTGGGCTTTACCAGGACATTGGACCTTGGGAAGTATTTGGGTATTCCACTTCAGCACCGAAGAATTGGGAAGGCGACATTCAGTCACATCCTACATCGAGTTCAATCCAGGATTAATGCTTGGAATCACACCAGTCTTTCCCTGGCTGGTAGAATTACTTTTTCTAAAGTTGTTTTCTCAACTATACCAGCCTACATAATGCAAGTCTCAGTCATTCTCCTTGGAGTTTGTGATGAAATTGAAAAACAAATTAGGAGTCTTGTGTAGGGCTCAACTAGATCAACTAAACGCCCACATCTAGTTGCGTGGGATCAACTGTGCATGAATAAAGATCAAGGAAGCCTAGGTCTGAGGAAAATGAAGGACTTTAATAGGGCATTTATTATGAAAGTTGGATACAGGATCCTCTCTAATCCTGACGCGCTTTGGGCTAAGGTATTAAGGAGTAAATATAAGGTGCAGCCCAGTATCGTGCCTGTTGTCACTGCAACGCGAAATAGTTCCTTTCTCTGGAAAGCCATAGTCTCATCCTGGCCGGTGATGCTTAAACACTCCAGGATTGTGCTAGGTGATGGGAAATCCACTCATTTTTGGGAAGACCCATGGATTCCGGGGTGTGCTGCTCTCTCATCATATGATCTTGCTAACTCCACGCGGGTTGATAACTAAGTGGTGGTATCTGATCTCGTTTCATCATCAGGTAGTTGGTTGTGGGATGCTTTTCAACACATTCTGCCAGTTCACATCCAAGCTCGCATCAACAATATCCTCCCTCCTTCTGATACTGAAGGACAGGACCGAATTATATGGACGAAGACGTCGGATGGGAGCTTCTCACTGAAGTCTGCGTACGAGGCAATATCTAGGAACGAGAATGACTCTACCAATATGCCCTAGAAACAAGTTTGAGGGTGGCAGGATCCAAAACGCATACGTACGTTCTTGTGGCTGATGATATGGGACAAGTTTCTAATGAATGAAAGAAGATGCAAACGTCACATGACTGGTTTTGATATTTGTAATCTGTGTAACCGATTTACTGAAAGCACCCTACATGCAATCAGGGATTGCGTTGATGCGAAGCAAGTGTAGGAATATGTAGTTAGGTAAGAGGCAAGGGAGGATTTTTTTTCTCTCAACCTTCAACAATGGGTGTTGTCCAACATCTCACAGGTTCAGACTTGGTCTAATCTGTCTCCATGGCCTCTTCTAATTGGAACCATTTCTTAGTTCATTTGGCGATCTAGGAATAAGAAGATATTTCAGGGGTCTTCAGAAACTGCATACAGCACACTGATAGCTGCTATGGTATATGGCGATGGGTTTACTTGGTCAGAAAACACACTTCAGGTTGCTTGGCTTGTGACTCATTTGCGAAAAGAGAGGTTAGTTTCCTGGGTTTTCCCTCAGAACCTTGGGTCAAACTGAATGTTGATGGGTCAAGCATAAATAATGGGGAATCTTCTGCCTTTGGGGGAGAAATTCAAAATGCAAGTGGAAGATGGCTCGTGGGGTTTTGCAAAAACCTTAGTTGTGGCAACGTTTTAATGATAGAACTATGGGTATGCCTCCTTGGGCTTGAAATTGCTTGGAGGAAGGGATTTCGTTTTATATGGCTTGAAGGTGATTCACTGGTAGCACAACATCTTTTGAAAGAGGGTGGCAATCCTTATCATCCAGCCTCAAATTTGGTCCTTCGCATTAAGAATATGCTATCTTGGGATTGGATGCTTAGAATTTCCCCCATTCATAGGGAAGGAAATGGGGTTGTAGATTTGATGGCCTCATTCTCTTATTCTTTTGACTAGTCCTTATAAGAGTTTGTCTCGCCTCCACCAGGTTGTCGTGACAGGCTTGAAAGGGATTATGTAGGAGTAGCTTGGTCTAGGATGTGTACCTAGTCTTTCTTGCTGTTTTTTCTTTCGTGTTTGTTTTTCAACAAAAAAAAGACATCTTTTTTTAAAAAAGTGGGACCCACTAATTATAAAAAAAGGTCATTACATTATGTCTTACAAGACATAGTGAACTGTAGATAAAGTTTTCTACATTTAAAGTATAAATGTTTTTCGATATATATATATAGGTAAAATTATTTCTACAGTCGCTTTACGTACAACAGTGACATGTGTATGGTTATGATTCCTCATATTTAATGTTTTTCCCTTTTGTATGATTATGATTCTCCATATTTAATGCTTTCACGTATATATATGGCAAATATTTGGCTGATCACGTACAACAACTGTAGAAATATAAATCCCATATATATATATATATATATATATATATATATATATATATAGGATAAGATCCTTTGACACCGATGTCAAATTTTGAAATTTGACACCAAATCCCAACCGTTGATTTCCGCCAATCAACGGTTATCATTTATTGGGAATTACACTTATTAATTCCAATAAATGATAACCGTTGATTGACGGAAATCAACGGTTGGGATTTGGTGTCAAATTTTAAAATTTGACACCTGTGTCAAAGGATCCTACCCATATATATATATATATATATATATATATATATATATATATATATATATATATGTAAAGGATTTCTCCGGTCGATGGAGATAAGTTATCCCCTATGAGCTCAAAACGACGTCGATTTTTTTTTTTGAGTTACCCAACCCTAATTATCTTTTTGAGACGAGATGGCTCCCTCCGGTATCCCCATGAGCTTCGACTCTTTGAGCCAGCTATGAGACTAATCCGGAGTGCGGAGGAACAGTGATGGCTAAAGGATCAGCCCCCTCCCTTTACATATATATATATATATATATATATACTTATGTAAAGGATTATGTTAGAGGAGAGGAATAAATCCAAAAGAAAAATGGGAGGCGCGTGGAGAAAGGGTAAATGAGTGGAGGCACGCGCGAGTGATGTTTGAATAAGCGAGTAGGAATGCGACCTTTGTCCGTGACACAGAGAGAGAGAGAGGCTCGTGCTTTTTAGTTCAACTCATCTTTCCGACTTCTCGTTCATGAAATGACAGATGTATCCGCCTAAACGAATGGGCGGCTCCGATCACTTCACCAGCTGATCTTGCTGTCCATTTCTTCGTCCTCTTTCTTCTTCTGGTAATCACTCTTTCTTTCTTTTTTTTAAAAAAATAATTTTATTTCTAAATCACTGTGTACACTTTGGCTTGTCATAGGATCTATTCATGAATGCTCATCGGGATTTATTTTGTTATTTTTTGTTTTGACGGACACTGTTAGTCTCGTTTCCAAGCATTATTTTAATTAAGTGTATTTCCTTATGCGGTTTTGTTTCGAGTTTCGACCATTATCCCATACAGATTAAGTAAGCTGTTATTTTATTTCTATAATCACCGGATTAATGATTGTTGGATATAAATAATATATATATATATATAGATTCGAGTCGGAGTGTTATTCTTGAAAGTACTCGGTTTGGTCCCTCAACTCATATTTTTGGGTCCTGCAATTTCAACCTTCGGTCATAAGTAGAAGTTTGTAGCTCAATATGGGTTTAATTATCCAAGTAAATGGTAATTGTTGTTGATTTTGAAGTTTAAATACATAGCTGCGAGAGAATAGAACACATTCCAAATTATATTTTTAATTTTTTTGAAACATGTGATAACAACCTCTGCCATGGTGTGTTGACAGATCCGTTCATGTGGGTATTAGATGATGGAGTCCTGCGATTGTATAGACACACCATATCCCCCAGATGAGCTTCTTGTCAAGTATCAGTATATTTCTGATGTCCTAATTGCCCTTGCATATTTCTCAATTCCTGTGGAGCTCATCTATTTTGTTCAGAAGTCTGCTTTCTTCCCATATAGATGGGTGCTTATGCAGTTTGGTGCTTTTATTGTTCTTTGTGGGGCAACACATTTCATTAACTTGTGGACATTCTTCGCCCACTCTAAAGCTGTTGCGGTGGTAATGACAATTGCCAAAGTCTCGTGCGCTATTGTGTCGTGTGCGACTGCGTTGATGCTTGTCCACATCATTCCTGACCTGTTGAGTGTCAAAACTCGTGAATTATTCCTTAAGAACAAGGCTGAGGAGCTTGACAGGGAGATGGGACTTATTCTTACTCAAGAAGAAACTGGAAGGCATGTTAGAATGTTGACTCATGAAATTAGGAGCACACTTGACAGGCATACCATTCTAAAGACTACTCTTGTGGAGCTGGGTAGGACTTTAGGCTTGGAGGAATGTGCATTATGGATGCCATCAAGAAATGGTCTGAATCTGCAACTTTCCCATACTTTAACCTTCCATGTACAAGTTGGGTCTACTGTGCCAACAAACCTTCCTATTGTCAATGAAGTTTTCAATAGCCCTCGTGCTAAACGGATACCACACACCTGTCCACTGGCCAGGATCAGACCTCTTGTGGGTAGATACGTGCCACCTGAAGTTGTTGCTGTCCGGGTGCCACTTTTGCATCTGTCAAATTTCCAAATTAATGATTGGCCTGATCTTTCCGCAAAAAGCTATGCAATCATGGTTCTCATCCTCCCTACTGATAGTGCTAGAAAATGGCGAGATCATGAGTTGGAACTTGTTGATGTTGTTGCTGATCAGGTCCATTTTAGATTTCTTTTATCTTGTTGTTTGTCTTTTTTTCTTGTGGCATTCTTGTTTTTGATTGTATATTCTCCATTTCTTATTTTCATTACTCCTTATACCTTCACTCTTTGTTAATTGCTTAAAAAGTCATATTCTTGTCATTGTTACTTCAAAATTCTGTTCCAAATGTTATAGTGAACTTGTTTTGGAGTGTAGAGTACCAAGAAAATAGGGATATGGCCATCAGCCACTGGCAATTTGGCCTTGCCTTAAACAATAAAATTTTGGGGTTTATAGGTATTTCTCAAATTTCAAGGAAGGAAGATGACAGCTAATGGTTCTTGGTAAATTCAGTAAAGAACACCATTTGGAGATTGGTAAAAGGTGAAAACTAACTCCTGCTAACATCTAATAGCATATGTTGACTGTAGAGGTTAAGCTAATCTGATTCAGATGTATCTTGCATGAATTCAATATGTGCATATAGGAGCTGGCTTTAAAATGTATTGTTCCTTACTTCTATGCATGCCTCCTGATCTGAATGACAATAAATTAACTATCTGAAGCATTTCTTTCAATTGTATGCTTTCTAGGAATTTCATTTTCTTACTAGATTAAAGGACCATATTAACGGAGTGTCTGCAATTTACTTTTGTGACATTAGATATAACGCCATAGTTGCCCTTTCAAAATTTCACTGATGCTTTTTAGTGTTTCTGTGGCATTTGTTTCTTTATATGCACCTCAAATGTGGGGACACGGTTGTGTTATTGTTAAGAAATACATTTCAAAGTATTTACATTAGGCGTCTATTCCTCTACAAGCCGAATTCATTTAGCTTTCTAACAGGTAGCAGTTGCCCTTTCGCATGCTGCTATTTTGGAGGAGTCTATGCGAGCCCGTGATCAACTCATGGAGCAGAATGTTGCTTTAGATTTAGCTCGGCGAGAGGCAGAGATGGCAATTCATGCTCGCAATGATTTCCTTGCTGTCATGAATCATGAAATGAGGACGCCAATGCATGCAATTATAGCATTGTCATCACTTCTCTTGGAGACTGAACTGACTCCAGAACAGAGGGTTATGATAGAGACAGTGTTGAAGAGTAGTAATGTTTTGGCGACACTTATCAATGATGTTCTAGATCTTTCTCGACTGGAAGATGGTAGCCTTGAATTAGAAATGGGAAAACTCAACCTTCATGGTGTTTTGGGAGAGGTGATTGCTATAAGATTTTCTTCTTCTGTGCTCCAAAACAGCAGTAACATTATTCTTCAATCTTTACCGTGAACAGAATTTATTTATTGTCTTCTTGTTTTTCTATCTTAAATGCAGATCGTAGAACTGATAAAGCCTATAGCATCTGTGAAAAAATTACCTATTACGTTAATTCTGGCCCCTGATCTTCCTATGTATGCCATTGGTGATGAAAAGCGACTTATGCAAATTCTTTTAAATGTTGTGGGTAATGCTGTCAAATTCACTAAGGAGGGCTATGTTTCTGTAAGAGCGTCTATTGCAAAACCAGAATCTTTACAGGATTGGCGGCCTCCTGAGTTTTATCCAGCATCAAGTGATGGCCATTTCTACATACGAGTACAGGTTATGACTGGGGCATCTAAATATCTTAGGCTTAATTGTCTTAATTTCTGACTTGTACAAGTTTTGGAAAAATTCCATGTGTTTTATATCCAGATAGTAATGTGATTACATTCTTCATTTATCTAAATAATTAAGTCACCTGGAGCATCCATGCCTAGATGCCAAGGAATTAGCCCAGAGATATCTGCCATTTTATTTTGTTGTTGTCGTCATCCTCAATATAGCATGTATTATAAATTAAGCTAGATAATTACTTGCCATCTCCTTATTATTGACCCAAGCCTTCTTTGTGCAGGTTAAGGATTCTGGATGTGGCATTCTCCCACAAGATATTCCACATCTCTTTACCAAGTTTGCTCAGTCTCGGAGTGTACCAGCTCGATCCAGCAGTGTTGCTGGTCTTGGGCTTGCCATTTGTAAAAGGTAGAGAAAATAAAATCCTATAAAACTGCTGAGTTTGCGGTAGTTTCTCAATGTTCACGATTTGGATCTGGATCCTCTCATGTGAAAATTCACATGACCATGTTATGTGGGGAATTATAACCATACAAAGTGGATCAATGGTAATAAAAGAGGAAAGAGAAAAAATGATAAAATAGGTAGTTATGAAATCATAACCGTTGATTTACCTTTGTATGGTTGTGATCTTTTCACATGACCATATCATGTTTTTTTTTTTCACATGAGAGGATCTATTTTCTCATGTTTTAGAGTAATTCTGTTGATTACCTATTCAGACACCATTTATTGCACCTATGCTAATGGATGTTAATGCTATTTGCTTAAATATTAGTTTTTATTTTTCAAGCTCTTGACTCTTCTCTTCAACATTGATTCAGATTTGTAAATCTCATGGGAGGTCACATATGGATTGAGAGTGAGGGCCTTGATAAAGGAAGCACAGCTACATTCATAGTCAAACTTGGGATTTGTGGCAATCCAGATCCATCAGATCATAAAGCTGCAAACAGAGGCCAAGCATATAGCGGAAGTGGAGGCCTCACTAGATTTAAACCCTTTGTCAAAGATGATGACGACACTGGTTTTTCTAGTCGACGCAATCAAAGAAGTTTCTAAAATCCAAAATTGGATAACTTTCGACCAGAGTCGACTAGATATAATAAACTTCATTTTGCATATGCTAAATTGTATAATTTGCAGTTTGCAGCTATAGGTTAGGATTACTATGTCAGGCATATTTCTAACAAACGGGTCTTGTCTGAAGTCCTGTCATGTTAATTAGCATACACTACAATGGAACGAAGGAGAGATGATCAATAACTTAAACTGACTTAAAGCACATAATTATTGTGCTGGTAGCTTTTGTTTTATGGAACTGACACCAGTGTGAATCAGTTGTCTGTGCTCCACCATGTTGGTTTTACGTCTATCACTTGTGTTAAAATTTGACTGTTCCATGCAAGAAGCTTTAGTACTCAATAATATATAGACATGTAATTGGGAGATTAAATAAATAAATGCTACGGTTAGTTGTTGATGGATCAAGAAGCTTTGATACATGATCTGTGGATTTGGAGTTCGTATGACAATGAATAAGCTTTTGAAAATTTAATCGCAGATACTCAGTTCCGTTCAGAATCTAGATACCAAAAATTGGTTCGCGTAAAAATGGACGTATTGGTTCGCGTAAGCATGCTCGTAAAATACCAAAGGGAGTTATTCATGTTCAAGCTAGTTTCAACAATACCATTGTGAAAGTTTCTCGTTGCATAAAAGCATAGACCTAATCTTATGATGATTGTATTCGTAGATTTATCTTTAACAAAAGAGAGAACGTTACGCCGATGGCGTACAAAATACAGGGAAAAAAAAAACAAACTAAGCCATAAACTCTATCAGAAAATGGACACGAAACTTAATGTTGAATATTCTTTTGAAAACATGCCATGTCGTGACTAGGGGTGTAAATGAGTCAGGTTGACCCAGCCCAGCTTGGTCCAGGTCCGGTCTTTCAGAAAAGTAGAGTATGTTTAGGCTTATAAAAAAACTTTTTTAACAAATAGGTCATAGGCCAATTTTGTCAAGCCCGACCTACAGCTTTGTAAGCTAGCCTATTTAATTTATTAAAATAAAATAATAAAATAATATTTATTTTATGTGGCAAAGACGCAAAGTACCAAATATCAATATCTCTGATTTTTTGTGCTATTTTATTTTATAAAAGGAAAACTTGTCTAATGTCTCCAAATTTTACATGCTATTGCAGCTTAATACCAAAGAGTAATGGATACCTTGTTGGATTATGATGTTACTGATAAAGATCTTTCAATAATACTCTTATTTCCCTTGTCTTGATGGTGGTTTAAAGATTTTTAGATAAATGACATTCTCTTGTAGACTTTATTTCAGCTTCCGGTAATTGTATTTTTTTTAGAGTAAATACCTTTTTTGGTCCTCAGAAAATTTCACGAGGCCCGTTAGCAAATAAAAAGGCTCATCGTGGTCTCTAAAAAATTTAAATTGGACTCATTTTAGTCCTTTTGAGGACTAATATGGCTCTTTTTTGAATTTGTGAGGGACCACGATTTCAACTAAATGGGTCCTTTTGAATTTTTGAAGGACCACGATGGGCCTTTTTATTTTCTAGGGACTAAAACGAGCCTCGTGAAATTTTCTGAGGACCAAAAAGGGTATTTACTCTTTTTTTTATTTTCTCCATTTCTTTGACTCTATTCCTCTATGATATACATTCTAGAGCTGGGGTATTATGTTGACTATTTCTTGTTTGTCATTTTTTTCTTATGAGAAGTACTAGTGCATGCATGAATGAAACTTTCTTTGCTCTATACAATTATTTTTTTTGCTTAGTATCTACAGTGAGAGGCCTACAAGGCCTGTAAGGCTATGTCAGGCTTTCTTATTTGTAAAAATAGGCCGGACTTGGCCTACAAATAAAGTCTTTAATAGGTCAGATAGGCTGAATTTTTTTTGACGTAGACTTGGACCAAAAAAGCCAAAGCCCAGCGCATTTACAACCCTAGTTGGGACTTTAACGATACAGTCTTTCATTTGCCTAGACTGCTTTCACAAAGCTGTGCTACTGTCTATTTTATAGGAGCAAATAAATACTAAGATTTCCTCTCTTTATACATCAGCTTAATTTCTACAGAAGTTTCAGTAACGAATTATAAATTTGCAGTTGAAATCAAATTTCTGTAACTTCACTTTTGTATTTAATATATATTATGAATTTATGTTTGCCTCTGAATTACACATATTACACGTTAACATTACCTCCTCATCTTCATCAGAAATTTCCTGTAATTGCAGGTAATCTATTATTTTGGAGTAGAATTGTTTACGCTGAAAACAAATCAATTAAATTTTGGTTACGACAATTGAGATCAGTAGAGCAATAACTATAATAAGAATAAGACGAGCCTTTCCACAACAATAATCATCTTCGTACCAAAAACAGTGAAACACCGGCTAAAAAAAGGAATATGATAACTTCACATACTTAAAATAAAGGCTAAATAAACAAGGTCTAAAACAACAAAGAGACTTGTCAAAACCACTTCAGAACAGTAACTCAGGATGCCAGCTCCTGAGATTCTATCAGCAAATCTCAGATTATATGATTCACTTCTTGGATTTCTTTGGTGCCCTGCACAAAAAGATTTATTTAGACATCAGCACACATAACATGGCAAAGGACAAGCATAAATTATAATACTCACTGGGCCGGCTGTGATGCTATAGCAGTTGTAGCACTGGGTGCAGCTGATGGCTTTTCTCCGGGACCCTGAACATTTTTACAAAAAGACAGGAAAAAGGGTCAAATTCTTCATTACCAATTTCAACGAGAATACTTGTTAAAGCAGTAAAACCCCAAATGCAATGATTGGAAAAATATAAATTCACTATATGCACTTGTGAATAGTTTCTCAAGACACTGTTACTCACTTGGGCCAAACGCTCTTCCCTCCGAGCAAGTTTCCTTTCTCTGCTGGCCTTGTTCTTGGCACGTTTGGCCTCAAACTGGTCAGACAAGGTCTTCTCTCTAGCCTTCTCAGCTTTGGATTTGTGTATGCTCTCCATCAGAACTCTCTTGTTCTTGAAAACATTACCCTTAACCTTCATGTACATGTCATGGTACATGTGCTTGTCAATCTTCTTAGATTCCCGATACTTGCGCAGCAGGCGTCTGAGCACACGCATTCTCCTCATCCAAAGGATTTTTGTGGGCAGCCTTGCCTCCCTGGTACCCTTGCGTTTACCTAGTAGTATTCAGGTAAACATCATAAGTAGCCAGCATTTCCTCCCAATGACAAAAAAGCAAATCATTTCATGCCAGCCCAGAAAAATTTCATACAAACTTAGTACAAATAACTCATGTCTCCTAAACTAATTTACAAAACAATTACACTGATTTATCCAAAATATAAGCATCTCAATAAAATACGGACATCTTATCAATTACATAATGAATGCGCTTATGACCATAGTTTCTAAGCAAGAATTAGCTAACAAACTAACAAGGATTAGATCCCCAGCTTAGATTGTCAAATCATGATTTAGAAGCAATTACACGTGAAATTGGGAATAAGTACCATATCCAGAGTGGCGTCCTTTCCTCTTAGCTTCCTTCATTCGACGGGCACGTGAGCGGGAGTGAATCTTAGTGGGTTTCCTGATAATAAACCCATCCTTAACAAGCTTTCTAATGTTTTGGCCTGCAAATGGAAATCCACAATGTTAAGCAGTGGAGTGCTTGAACACAATATTACATAGAAGCTCAACGTAGTAAAGCCATGTTGATCTCCCCAAAAGCTATACTACCAACGGAAAAACAATATTTGATGTTAACAAATAAAGTAGCAATATCAGATTTGCAATCTACATGTATAATAGCTCATGTTTGCATCTGCATATTCTAGGGAAAGAAAAGGGAATAATCCGGTGCAATTACATAAAAAGCTCAACAAATAACAAGATTCAGATGCTATGAAAACCCGTGGGGAACAAACCCAGAAAAAATGCCTTTTTCTTAAAAGTTAAAAACAAAAATCGGAGTGCGTACGAGAATTCGCCATGGAGATTTCATTGACTTCATTGGGGTCAAGCCAAACCTTCCCTCTTCCGCACTTGAGGACGCTCGATGCTAGCCGCTTCTGCAGTTTCAACGACACCATGTTTCCGTGTGTTCAGTGAAGCTAACGCTATCGCGATATGCGGAAGGGAAGCACTACATAACTCTAGGGTTCTGGAATGAGGTGATATGATGGGCCACTACTATTCACTTATCTTAAGCCCATCTCATTTCTAGTTCGTCTCAGTGGCCCAATAATAAAAACAGAGCACTGCGTAACTTTAGGGTTTGGGAATGAGGTGATATGATGGGCCACTATTCATAAAAAATAAAGTCACATGTGAACATTCATAATATTTTATAATAAAAATAAATTTTTCAACAATATATTTCAACAGAGAATTTTATCTACGGATTAATAAAAAAAAAAATTTATATTGACATCTAAACATGTTAATATCCATATTTTTATTGAAACATACTGTATATGATGAACCTTAGTAATTTGGTGGATAATAACAACTAAATTTTTTTTTGTAATGGTAGTAGTTGAAGAAAATAAATAGTTTTACTTTCACATTATAGAGCATACTTACTAAGAGCAGTTATTTAATATTGGTATTAAGATCATTTTTCATTGTTACTTTTAGTTTTTAACTAAAGTTGTTGTATTTTGTTATGACTCCTTGTGAGAAGATTATTATTTGATGACATATTTTAATAATAAATTTAATAAAGGTAGTAACTAAATTTTCACTTATATTAAAATTTTGTTTACATTTTCACTTGTATATTTGTGTACAAATATTATTTTATCAAAAAAATTTATAATTTGTATAAAATATGTTAAGAAAGTGTTAAATATTTATTTGTTAAAATATTTTTTAATGTGTTGAATATAATAACAAAAATTATGAAATTATAAATTTGGATAGCTCATTGACTAGCGCTAACTTATAAGGCTTTTGGCCCGTGTGGGTTATTATTGAAGTTTATTAGATCCTATGGACTTTTAGCCTTAACCCACACATACTAGGAGTTAATGGGAGAAGGTAGTACATTTTGACAGCTCTACTACAAATAATTTTGTAGTTTTCCTTTTTCTTGACCAAACAAAACTTAGGATTTTGACCTGAAATGAGTCTGTGATCCTTTTCAAGACGTGAATAAGGGAAATTAACCTGCGAGTTGCAAGCAAGATTGAAACAGATCAAAAATAGGTTTTACATGTCTGAAAAAAAAAAGATTTTACAAATTTCAAAAGAGATATACCCAATTGAAAGAAAAAAATACTTTAATTTGGGAAGGAGAAATTTTTTTTTTTTAAAAAAAAAGGAGAAGGAGAAATTTCTAGAATATACTTTGTACTGAAATAGATCTCCAAATTCTATTGGGCAGTTTTATTTTTCTTACAATTTTCTTTAACATCTATTGCAAAACCAGAATTTTTAAGTATTGGCGGCCTCGTGAGTTATATCCGGCATCAAGTAATGGCCATTTCTACATAAGAGTACATGTTATGTCTTAGGCTTAATTGTCTTAATTTTTTACATTTAAGTAGGGGTATAAATGAGCTATACTTCCTATCAGAAGTCTATGGCCAGTCTACGTTAAGCCAAATTTAGCCTATTACATCTAATAAAATAAAAAAGTCTTTAAAAAAACTTATTTAGAAAGTAAGTTGTATATTTTTTTTTTACAAGATCTAGTCAATAAGCCTATAGACTGACTTATATCATATTATTTATTTTAAATAAAATAAATAAGTATTCCAATAATTTTGAATAATAAAGTAATAATATTTTTTTATTTTTTTAATTCTTGAATACCTAATAAGTTTAAATAGGTTAATAAGCTTATGTCAGACCTTTTTTAAATATTAGTTAAATCAGACTTATAATTTGGCCTACATCATACCAGACTTAAAATATTTTATACAAACCTAATTTATTTAAGTCAAAATTTAACTCGCCTGATCCGTTTAGATCGCTACGATAAAAGTTTTGAAATAATTCCATGTGTTTTATATCCAGATAGTAATGTGATTGCAATCTTCGGTTATCTAAATAGTTAAGTCACGTGGAGCATCCATGCCTAGATGCCAAGGAATTAGCCCAGAGATATCTTCCTTCTTATTTTGTTGTTGTCGTCGTCAATTTTGCAAGTGTTGTGAATTAAGCTAGATATTGCTTGCCATCTCCTTATTATTGACCCAAGCATATCCTTCTTTGTGCAGGTTAAGGATTTTGGATGTGGCATTCTCCCGCGAGATATTCCACATCTCATTACCAAGTTTGCTCAGTCTTGGAGTGGACCAGCTCGATCCAGCAGTGTTGCTGGTCTTGGGCTTGCCATTTGTAAAAGGTCGGGAAAATAAAACACTATAACGTAGTGTTTGGTAGAAGATTTATTTTGGGATTGATGGTTCACGTATGGAGAACTGACTTTTGTGTTATTTTTTAAATGAAGTTCACTGTTACAGAATACCACTTGAGATTTGATATTTTGAGATAACTGACGAAGTGAAAAAACAGGTGCGAAATTTCTTCCAAACATAGATTTTGCAAATTGCAAATTTAAATAAATTTTTCTGATAATATTTCAGTCAACCAAACAATTTTTTTTACATTTTCTTACCAAACTCACTTTCCAACCATTTCCCTAGTAATTACATTTCCCTAGTATTCAAAAAAATTCTCCTCAACCAAACACCCCCTAAAACTGCTGAGTTTGCCGTAGTTTCACAATGTTCACGATTTAGAGTGATATTCTTGATTACCTAGTCGGACACCGTTTACTGCACCTATGCGAATGGATGTTAATGCTAAATAATAGTTTTTATTTATTGAGTTCTTGATTTTTCTCTTAAAAGTTGAGATTTATAAATCTCATGGATCACATTTTATTAATATATAATTAATTAAAAATTTGTAAAAAAAATTAACACAGGTAATTGAATCTGAACATTGTCCCATGCTCAAGCCCAGTAAACTCTCAAGTGAGATGGCATATTAAAAAATAAAATAAGACAATAAGACGACTATTGAGATCAGTAGAGCCATAGCTAGAAAAGGATAAGACGAGTATTTCGGAAACAATGATCATCTTCGTAACAAGAAATGAGAAACACAGGTTAAAAAAAAGGAATATTGTAAATTCACATACTTAAAAATAAACGCTAAACAAGCTCTAAACCAACAAAGAGACTTGTCAAAACTACTTCAGAACAATAACTTAGGATGCCAGCCCCCGGAAATCTATCAGCCAATATCAGAAAATATGATTTACTTCTTGGATTTCTTTGGTGCCCTGCACAAAAAGAGATTCATTTAGACATCACACATAACATGGCAAAAGGCAGTAATATAAAAGACAAGCACAAATTATAATACTCACTGGGTCGTCTGTGATGCTGTAGCAGTTGTAGCACTGGGTGCAGCTGATGGCTTTTCTCCAGGACCCTGAACATTTTTACAAAGAGACAGGAAAAAGGGTCAAATTCTTCATTAACAATTTCAGTGAGAATACTTGCTAAAGCAGTAAATCCCCAAATGCAATGATGGGGAAAATATAAATTCACTATAAACACTTGTGAATAGTTTCTCAAGACACTGTGTTACTCACTTGGGCCAAACGCTCTTCCCTCCGAGCAAGTTTCCTTTCTCTGCTGGCCTTGTTCTTGGCACGTTTAGCCTCAAACTGGTCAGACAAAGTCTTCTCTCTAGCCTTCTCAGCTTTGGATTTGTGTATACTCTCCATCAGAACTCTCTTGTTCTTGAAAACATTACCCTTAACCTTCATGTACATGTCATGGTACATGTGTTTATCAATCTTCTTAGATTCCCTGTATTTGCGCAGCAACCGTCTGAGTACACGCATTCTCCTCATCCAAAGGATTTTTGTGGGAAGCCTTGCCTCCCTGGTACCCTTGCGCTTACCTAGTAGTATTCAGGTAAGCATTATAAGCAGTCAGCATTTCCTCGCAACGACCAGAAAATAAATCATTTCATGCCCGCCCAGAAAAATTTCATATAAACATAGTACAAGTAACTCATGTCTCCTAAACTAATAAGAAAAACAATTACACTGATTTATCCAAATATAAGCAACTGTGAAATCTTGACAACATCTTATCAATTTCATGATGAATGTAGTTATGAGTTTCTAAGTAAGAATTAGCTTACAAACTAACAAGGACTGGATCCCCAGCTTAAATTGCCAAATCATGAGTTAGAATCCTTACAAGTGAAACTAATTAAGGTTGGGAATAAGTACCATAGCCAGAGTGGCGTCCTTTCCTCTTAGCTTCCTTCATTCTACGGGCACGTGACCGGGAGTGAATCTTGGTGGGTTTCCTGATAATAAACCCATCCTTAACAAGCTTTCTAATATTTTGGCCTGCAAATGGAAATCCACAATGTTAAGAAGAGCTTGAAAACAATATTACATAGAAACTCAACATAGTAAAGCCATGTTGATCTCCCCAAAAGCAATACAACCAACTGAAAAACAATATTTGATGATAACAACTAAAGTAGCAATAACAGATTCGCAATCTAGATGTATAATAGCTCATATTTGCATCTTCAAATTCTAGTGAAAGGAAAGGTGCAATTACATCAAAAGCTCAAGAAATAACAAGATTCAGATCCTATAAAAAACCATGGGGAACAAAGCCAGAAAAAATTCCTTTTTTAAAAATTTAAAACAAAAGAAAAATAATCGTAAGATTTAATTGAAAATCAGTGATTATAATAACAACAAAAAACTTAATAACCAGAGAAAGAACGCGAGTGCATACGAGAATTGGCCATGGAGATTTCATTGACTTCATTGGGGTCAAGCCACACCTTCCCTCCACCGCACTTGAGCACGCTTGCCGCCAGCCGCTTCTGCAGTTTCAGGGATACCATTTTGTTTCCCTTTTTTCTATGTTTCTGCTGATACAATTCGGGAAAAGAGAAAGCTAAACCCTAAAATCCCTCTTTTAATGGATTTGATTGAGATGGGCCTAGCCCACAATATGACCCACGAACTCCTCCGCATGGCAACTTGAATTCGGTTATTAGCAAATTAAACGTTTAACTTGGCTGTGTTCCATAAGTCCATAAAAAATAGTTAACTGGGCTGTGTTCCATAAGTCAATAAAAAAGAGTCTGGGTCAGTTCATAAAGATGGTATTGGTTGCTCTTACACTGTCGCCAAAGCATAAGATACGAATTAACTCACTAACTTTTCTTCATTAAATATAAATTACAAAGAGTTGGAACGAGATTGGTTCACCTGTTTATAAACTAAGTCATTTTAATTGATAAATTTAATAATATTTATTTTTTAATTGTACTTCAAAATCTGTGATTAATAATTATGTTTTTTAATATATATTTTTAGCAAAGTCAGGGTGTTCACATTCAATAAAATGAGATTAATCTCTTCGTGGCTTGAAGCATAACGATTTTCACTATTGGATATATTTCTTGTAGGAATTGAACTCATGACTTCATCAACCACAGAATTCATTCCTTAAGCTATAGTCCACTTACCAAATGAGCTACCCGTGAAGTTTATTTTTTTTAATACTTTAGGGTGTATGTAGAAAAAAAAAATATTTTTTCTAAGAGAGTATTAAGATAAAAAAAAATTCATATCAGAAAAATTCAATAACAAATAAAATGCTATCTATTAGTAAAAAAAATTACTCACGGGCCAATTTTTTTCGACCCATCGCCAATCCATTTTGAGTTATAATTAAACAAAATGAATTGAGATAAGTTGATGGATTGAAATGTATAATCAACATATCCATTTTTCGCGAATTAACTCATCAAAATTACCCCATATTATCATCTCTTGATGCTTGCATGCATCTGTACATGTAGTATCTTTTTATTACTGATTATTGATAAAAAAAAAAATTGACTTGCACATAACATTAATTAATATGCCACTAATACATTGAGCAGAGTGTATATACTGATTATGCAGAAATGGAGTTGTCAGAGTCATTTGTTGGTAGAAATAAAAACAAAAAAACAAATATTTCTTATGGAAGAATGACACAGTCAAAAAGGTTATAACTTTTGAACAAGTTGGTCTACAATGTCGTCGAAACTAACAATAATTTGTTACTATGATATTGATATGGCATGAGCAGTTTTATAATTTGTTTTTTTATGATATTTTATTCAGTTAATTGCTTCTTAATTAATTTGATTTGAAATAAATTTTAAAATTAAAATTTTAAACTCTTCTTAAATTTTAAAAAAAATTCAAACACATATTCTCGGTCACTAATCATCACCTACTTAATACCAACAAAATTATCATCATTTGATGCAGTTTTATATTTTTGAATCATGAATGAGGATAGCATGTTTTTGCTCACAGAGTCAAATATTTAATATGCTCTAGATCCATTTATAATTCAGTGGATAAAAATTAAGTATTTTCTAGTTTGCTTGTATAGAGAAAAGAAAAATTTTATTTTTTTCACTAAGTGACTACTCATCAATGAAAAGAATAGGTGTACCATAACTATTACAAATACTCTCCTCGTGGAGTCATACTAGTCAGTAGTTACAAAGTACAACCACTGTACTACACGCGCAGAACTGCAGGAGTACTAGTTTTCCCAGCCCAAACCTGTAGGCGCCCACCGAGTGCAAATTCAACGGCGTCAGTGATTTACATCATCATCATTCCTTTCCGGTTACTAATTACCATTACTGCCTGACCTTCAAGTTAAGACACGCTCCTTCCTCTATAAAAATATTAAAATATTTATGTATCATTCATTCAGTACATCTATATAATAAAAAATAAGAAATAATTGTTATATTTGTATGAAAAAAAAATATCTTTTTTTATTCAAATACCATTTATTGAATAGCAAATATATCTACTACAAATATACAGAAGATAATCTCCTCCTTGGCAGTCATCTAAAAAAAGTCAAAAACAATTCTCCGTTCAATTATCTTTAATTCCAACCCATTTATTATATTTTGTCCCACGCGTCACTGTCAAAAGGATTGTTTTATTCTTAACATTTGCCCTATATATTATTTTACACATTGTCATCGTTTTTAAAAAAAGTTGGACAAATTGTTGAAAAAAATTATTTGTATTTCAATCTAGGTGATTGACCAACATGATAAGAAAATACCACGATTACATAGTTTGTACCACTATCATGCAATATGTTATATGTACAAACTGCCCCATCCTAATAATATTTTTTCTAATCTCTCAGTAATTATTATTCTTTAATTACCGTATTGGTCAACCAGTTTCAAATTGTCATAGTTGAACTTGAAACTACCAAAAACAAAAAATTGTCATAGTTGAAAACAATAAATGTGGTGTGACCCGCTTTTATCTAGAAGTCTAAAACTCGTGGATGGCACGCGTGCATGTCGATTCACATTTTTATTCTTGTTTTATGCAAAAGTTAAGTAACAACAAACACTTGCTTAATATTTAGTTAATCATTTTATGAGTGTAGAAGGAGAGACGTGAAATATATAATTCAAAATAATATGCTTATAAGTTTATTAGAGGAATAAAATAGAGGGGTGGGGGAGTGTGACTAAAGACAAGTGGTTAAAATGGACAAACAACCTTTCTTATGGTATCCTTTTATTTTATTTAAGGAGATGGCATTTAATTGTTGATTTTAACAAAGATAATTAAGTAAATTATTAAGAGTATTATTTTTGCAGTTGTGGTAGCTTCTACCACATAAAAAAAATATTATCTCTCATTCTACCAAAGCATTCTCTCTTATCTCTCATTATGTCGATGGCACAGAGTATTACTTCTGTTACAACTGCAAAAATAATACTATCTTACTAAAAAAAAATATTAATGCTTTTATTAGAGTCATCGTAATTAGTACATGAAAACGAGGGGATTCATATTTATAAACACACACCATGTGTATCGTATTCATGAATACCTTTTTTTTAAAAAAAATACGTTAATACGGTTTTTAAAGTTATTAGAAAATAACATTTTTTAGCAATAAAGTACATGTTGTCAGAAGTTTAATTTCTAGCCATGTATTTGAATTTTTTTTTGTTGATATAGATAAAACCTATTCGATAATCTTTACTCATCGTCGGTAAATATCTCGAGAAAACTCTAAAAAAAAAATAGCAGTCTTTAGAATTCATATCTGAATGAGTTTATTTGCATAAACAAATTAATAAAATTTTAAAAATTTAATTAACCAAATCATTTTAATTTAATCATTTTCATTACGTACTATTATTCTTTTAACTTTCCAAACAAATAATCTTATCTATACTTCTCAAATTTTATTGTTTCCAACAAAGTGTAGGGTATAAAACTGTTTTTCCATGACGAACTAAGAACGGGGCATAATAGACCTAATGAACAAAAATTGAAGGAAACAAAGAAAAACTAGAATAAAATTGTAATTGAAAGTTGAAGTTTTTCATATGAGAAAACTACATAATACAAGAACTAAAATGAGCAACTGTAATTCAAATACAAAAATAAAAAGAAAACTGCATACACTTGGAAGTTGAAACTCAGAACACAGAAAATCACAGGGTTGATGAAGAAGTGACAGAAGCAGGAATGGCATCAACATCGAAGCTCCAAAGATCCCCAACAACACTTTCCTGAGCGCTATTGGGTGCAAGTGCAACTGATTGGCCATCATAGTAGGGAATCTGATAAAACCTCATGTAATTCTCGTACGCCATCAGCTCCTCCGAAAGTTTCTCCACTTGGTTCTTTTCCTCTTCACTTCCAACAATCACTAACTCCTTCACTTTTTCACCTTCCTCATTCACCTTCTCCTCTTCAAGATTATTCGAGTAAGCACCCTCCGACCCCGATCCATATCTACAACTTTCATCAAAAACTGGTTCTGTGCTATTAGCAGCATGAGAAGGAAACGCCCCTACTTGATTCAGATCATAACCAAACTCCAAATTCAAACTTTTGGGGACATAATCATATTGTTGTTGTGCTGGATTAACACTAACTTCAACGGAGTACTTATCATCTTCGTTAGGGAAATTCACTTTGGCTTTCTTGCCACGGATTTTTCGAGCTTCTCTGTCATAAGCTCTAGCAGCTTCTTCAGCTGTGTTGAATGTTCCCAACCAGACACGAACACCTTTCCTCGGATCTCGAATCTCCGCCGCCCATTTACCCCATGGCCTCTGCCTAATCCCTCTGTAGAGGTTTTTCCTCTGCCTCTTCCCTGTCTTGTTGTCAACTTGCTCGTTCACTGTCACATTCAGAAATCAGATATATATATATAATTGAAAAATGGTTAAAAGTTAAAACTCAAGAAAATGAAATGAGTGAACAGAGAATATACACTGACCTTGAGAAGGGTGAGATCTCTTGAGAGGGACTAATTGTTGATGCTGTGGATGAGAATTAACGAACTGCGGTTCATTCTGATTGCCAAACGTGTTAGGCCACAGTTCGGAGGTGGTGAGGGGGCGAGAACGACGGTGAGGGATAAACTCAGCGATGATAGAACCACCACACATGGTTAAACCGGTTTATGAAGAAGATTCAAAGAGTAATATATTAATATTAAAGGACTGGATATTTTGAGAGAGATGCTGGAATCACTGTCAGAAAGTTTATTGTTTTGGTACGAGAGTATGGAGAGGAAGTGGAGAAAATGGGTCTTTTGTAGTTGGAAAAATAAGAGGGTGAGTGACAGGGACACTGCATTGCATTGGGAACCTTCCTATGTGTACTAACCCCGTTCTCACAAGTTTGCATTTGAATAATCCTTTAAATGGAATTTTTTTTTTTTATGTCATTAGATGTTAGTTATCTTATCTTATCTTAGTAAAATAAAATTATAAGGAAACATACAAATAATTGGATAGAAAAGAGAGAGAGAGGTGAAATCCATGTTTATTATGTGTATACGAATTTAATTTATTTCATGTTAAATTAAATAAATATAATTCTCCTTTAAAATCAAATTTTGCTTTTTCCAACGCTTGGCTGGGTAGTAGCTACCTATTCCCTAGAATCAAGATTCTAGAAGGAAAGGAGTTTTTTTTTTTTTTTTATAGGTTCTTATATGCTTTGAATATATTAATTCAGGTGTTTGGAAGAGAATTTTTATTTGATATTTCTAGGAAAATAATAATGATAATTCTATTTGTTTATATTTGGTATAAGATTTTTGAAATTTTTTTCAGAAGTCTGATTTTTTTGGGATTTATTTTGTGTATAATTTTTCTTTTAAAATGTCATCTAATAATATTATCGCAGGGGTGATATTCTTGAAATCTTAGGTATTGAAAAAATTTTACATTTTTTTGGAACAAAATTCAGGTAATATTTTAACCTACTAACTAATTTTTTGATGATATTTCCAGAAAAGTGATTTTCTCATCATATTTCTGAAAATTATGATTTAGGGATATGAAAAAATTTATCATCTATCAAATGCTCCGTAAATAAAAAGTCACTTATGTTTTCATAATTATGCAAATTTGAACAAAATATATTATTTAATTTTCTTAAAATTATTCAATATGATTTATTTTTAGAATTATTTACGAAATTATATATATGTTTATTTAATAGTTAACGTGATTAGATTTTAGTTTGTTGTTGTTTTCATGAAAATTACTAGACTAATTTATTATATATGTATGCATTGGATGGTAATTTTTTAAGTTTATTAATTATTTATTTTGAAATCGATTGAACTAAACCAGTAGAGTTAAATATATTTTTGGTTCGGTTCTCTTATTAAATATATGGATTTAAGAAATGCATTGAGGCACAATAAAGTTTACACGAAAATTATAATATCAATAAGGTATCGAATTCTTACCTTGTCCAAATATATGTATATTTTTCATTTTATTTTGCACTTCTTACTTATTTAATTAAGTACAGCTCGAAAATTTACTTTACTTTCATTTAGTTTTTTTTTACTCTCATTTAGTTTTTAGATTCCGAGGTAGTGTAATTGAATAATATTTTTTTTCCAGACGTAGATAATTTTCTTAATATATAATTAAGTACAAATGGGAGAGCGAGCCTTCAAATAGCGATAAGATTATTCTTCTGTAACCAATAAATCACGTGTAATTAAATGAAAAAAGTCAAAACATTTGTTATTTGTGTTTTCGCACATAATGAAGTAATAATTGCTTATTTGAATTAAATAGGATGAAATATATAAAAGTATTATTAACATGTAACCTAGGATTGAAAATGAAAATTACTGAATATAAACTATAATTCACGCCTTAATCAGGCTCAATCTTGAAAATCTAACAACGCGATTCAACACTTAAGGGATGAATATATAATTTGAATGTATTAAATTGATATATTAATAATGTATTATAATTATAATTTTTGTTTAACAGAATATAGATATTTTTTAGGGGATGAATATTTAATAATTTAGTACTCTAAAAAATTAAGAATACAAGTTTATCAAATAATTCTCATAACGTTCTTTCAGTCAGCAGTCAAACAATTGTGACACAACTTTCTATTAATTAAGAGAAGGATTAACTGATGAAAGAGTAAGGATGAACAGGTGAAAAATAATGAGACAGATCGATACGACAAGCGATCTAATGTCGAAATTATCTAATTAAAAAGCTCAACCGTAATTATTAAGTTATTAACAATCAATGGATGGCGTATAGTAGGATAGATTAGAACGAGGCAATTGATAATTAACAAATAGAACAAAGCATCACCAGAAGCAAAAGCAGATCATGAAAAAAGTATATATAAACCACTGGGCACATAGTATACTCAACTCGTGGGCATATTCCATGTCGATTCATCGACAATAAACAAGCCATGACTCTAACTTTGAACAAGAAAGTATGCTGATATATATTATATAGTAAGAATGTACGGAGTTGAAACTTGTTTTTCTTTTTTTTTTTGTGGTAAGATCAAGACTAAGTTTTGTCTTGAATTATTTTATCAGTGCACTTCTCCCTATTAAATAAATATCTTACCTAAAAACTTAAATTATTTGGTGAAGAGTTTACCAAAAAAAAATTTATTGGTGAAGATAATTTTAATAGTTTTATATCATATCATATTAAGGAACATCTCATTCTCAACCCAACTACTTGTAATTAATGTTTACATTAATAATTTTATATTACACTTCTCTAACACTCACATTGGCATGTGCACATTTTAATACAATTATTTTCTCTAAGTGTAAACACAATTTAAACAAAGTTTGATATATTATCTCTCAATCTTTTTGTCATATGGATAGTCGAAATAGTTTAAATAGTTTTTTATTTTAACTTCATATTATTTCCAGGGACAGAAATATGTTATTAAAGTCATCTTTATGAAAAATGACAATTATATAAAGTCTTATACATAAATGGGGAATAAATTTGTTATGTTATAGGAAATAGAAATATTTTTCCTACACTAACAACAAAAACATGGGCCTATGCGAGTTTCAAAAAACAAAAAAAACAAAAAGCTGATAGTTATAATATTTTTGTGTGCAGGATGAAAGAGATTTGTTCTGTAACACGACCAATACAATCCCCTACATAAATATGAAATGATGTTACATAAAAGATACATTACATTTACCAAGGACTCAACTTTTGTATCTGAAAAATAATTTTTAGGATTTATTGCTTTTATAATAAATTTCGAATAAAAATTCTTGCATAAATTTCTTAAAGTTTGTTTTTGGTCAAAACATAATTTTCTTAATCCTATTTTTTTATGGAGAAGGTTATACTTACAACCTATTTTCGTTTATAATTTTTTACAACCATATCTTAACCGTTGATTTTCGTCAATCAACGGTTAAGATTTTCGCAAATTAAATTTATCAATTAATTATTAATTCACAATAAATAACAATTGTTGATTGACGAAAATCAACGGTTAAAATATAATTGTAAGAGTTTGTAAACAGTTATAAATATAACTCCTCCCATTTTTTTTATATTATCAAAATCGCTTGTATCTGTTGGGTCGGCTTAAAATGCAGAATTGGACTCATAAACTTAATCAGACGTTAAGGCCCAGTTTCTCGTTCTTCATGGGCGAAGTGCAACAAGGATGATAACTACCCTTTCGGCCTTTAACAAAATACTAAGGTAATAGTTTTTCTTTTAAACAATAAAAGTAGGTACTTAACTTTCGGCCCATCATTAATGATTTGTCCCAAATTTGTCAACATATAGACAAACATGGATGTGCCATATTTGTAACAGAAATCTACCTCATAAAAGTAATAATAATTTAATTAATGATTATACTGAACTATTATTTTCATTTATTTAATTATTTATTGTGTTAAGAACTGGTATCATGCATGTAACTTGAGTGGCGTTCCAGAGTAAAACAAAAAACAAAAAATAAAAAATAAAATAAAAATTTTATCGTGCACGCTCTCTCTTCCTCTTTTGGAAAATCATTTTTCATCATTCTATATTTAATTCGCTTTTCTTTTAAATTAATTAATACTTCTTCAACTGCCAACCATTTTTTTATTTAAGAAATTTTTACACTTTCCATCCACTAGAATGGAAAACCAACGCTCACCATATTCTTACAGAGGCTGCTACGTAACATAAGAACAACATTGATTGCACCGGACTCTCACATGGAATTGGACAGAAATTTGGGGTTGGTAACTGAGCTGTTAAATATTTTCCTACTCTTTATCAATAGCTAATGATGCATTATATTAAAAAAAAAAAAAACACATCTATTATCATGTGCCACTAACATAACATTTTGACAGTTAGTGTGTGGCATGCCAAGCTAGGAATCATTCGTTATTTGTCATCTTCATTGCCTTCTCACTTATATAATATTCTGAGTTTTAACACAGTCATATAATTTTTAATATCTTTGTCATTCCAAAATGAAATTTAATCCAAATTGTAAGTTCATGATAATTTATTCTAATGAAACCACAAGACCATATCTCTCAACTCTGGTTAGAGCTACGTACTCGTCATTTATTCACAAAAAAATAATGTGTGCAAGTTAGAAAGACACGGGCAAGATAGGCCATGAAACAGGTAATTACGGATCGAGTATGACTCTCTCTCATTCTCATTCTCTCTATAGGGCATACTAGGCACGATTAAGTAGCTTAATTTGAATACTGAACCAGTTTTAGTTGTTGATCCGAAAGTGATATGCTCTAGAATTGCGGTGAGTTAATAAGAACAAATCATGGGCAATATGCAAACACGTGTCTGGCAAGGGTACCCTTAACAGATTCTTCTTGACGTGTGGGAAGCCAATGAAGATGCCAAGTAACGAATCAGGACAAAACTTAAAGGCCTGCTTCAATCTCATTTTTTCTTCGTTCCCGCTTTCACTTTCCATTACCTCTTTTATAAGATAAACTTCATCCCTTGGTTTTGTGTCATACTTTGAAGAAACAAAGGAGCAAAAAAAAAAAAAGTAGAAGGCAAAGTAATTAACATAAGATAGGAGAAGAATCCATGGAGGAGGTACGGGCCACAATCACTAACAAGCACGGAAGAAAGAGAATCCACCCATTAAGCAGCCTAATAAGTATTGGAGGAGAAGGTGGGATTGCAGGGCTTGTCGTGTTTGGTGGAGCCTTGGCCGTTGCAGGTTTCATGGCAGTTGCGTCTCTTGCAAGCAACAAAAATAAGGCAAAGGGCAATCGTGATCACCAACCTAAACCCCAACAATTATTATTGAACGAAAACGGGTTTAAGAGTGAAGAGGATCATGAAATTACCCAGAATCTCAGCTCTTTTCTTCAACATTCAACAACCCAAGATGGGGATGCCACAAGGTATGCTATCTGTAATATATGCATATACACGCACATGCAAACTCTGTATACCCTTCTATTCAATTAACATAACTAGATGACTCTACCTGTTTATATATACTTTCATGTCTTTTTCTTAATCAATTTCAACGCTACGTTAACTTTTGTCACTTGCTGCAGCTGTTGGACATCCAACATAAGCAATAACCAAGTTAGTTCCTCCGAGTTGCTCTCTTCCAAAACATTGATTCTGGTAATTCATCCTTCCTTTACAATGTTGTTTTGCTTGGGTTTGTTTATTACCTTTAACTTGTGACAAACAACTTGGATGTTGAATTTGGTTCAGGAGGAGAAGATTGACCTTAAACCCAAAAGTGAAGAAGATAGCCCAACCTGTTTTCATCATCAGGAAATTGCATTCTCTGACTATTCGCACCCTGAAAGTGTAGAGTCGTCAAACGAAAATGGGGTTATCGAAGAATGCTTGGCGTCACTGTTTAACAATTCAAGTGACCAAGCACAAGAGTTGGAAAAGGATGAACCTCAAGATGGCCTAACATCCACAGAAACAGAAACAGAAACAGAAACAGGGGATGATGATACTGATGATGATGATGATGATGATGTTGACATTAAGTCCGATGATGATGATGATGATGTTGACATGAAGTCCGATGATGTTTCAGAGATTGATGAAGAAGATAGCTCAAAAGCAACGGGGACCACCTCCCTGGATTACAACGAGGAGCCAGTTTGGCCTGCAGAGCTGATACAAGAACTCAAGGGAGACTACTGTGATAGCCATGTTTGCAGTGACTCCGATGCGGATGGCTCGGACTATGCTGGGAATGACGAAGCCATGACAGTAGCAAAAGAAGCAACTTTCCACGAAAAGGCCAATTTCTCTTTGTTGCAGAATGATAAATCATCAGTAATGAGAACCAGGGTTATCCCCATGATGTTGCTAGCGTTGCTGTTGCTCCTAATTCTGCTGACCCGTCGCCCACAGGAATCTTTTCAGGTCCTTGATGATGGTAATTCTGTAAAAGTACCATGAAATGAATTTCCGAACAATATGTTAAAAATCTCTTTTTAAACGAGTTCGGAAATGGACATTGCTATTCCCAGTCAGTTTACAGAACCATATGCGCTGAGGATAATGATAATTGAGATAAATCTATTCTGATAACCCATATTTCAATCAATTAAAATTTAAATTGTTTATAAAATAAACGTCAGAATGCTCGTTTGCTGACCCTGCCCTATAGTGAATTTGGTTACTTTTCACGCATTAGGCAGGAATGAAAGAGTTAAGCTGACTAAGAAAAGTGACACTTTGTAGCAAGAGATCCTGGCAATCTCCTTATGTAAATGCTATGTTTCTGCACAAGTACTTTACATTGTATACTCCTTTACCCTATCACTCTATTCTATATACAATGCCTTGATACAATGGCTCAATTGGCTGCTGCCGGTTTATTGGGTTAATGAGTTGGAACAAATGTATGAAAACTAAACCAAAATTTAGACACATAAATGCCTGCGCCGCTGCGGACAAAACTTAGTTCCCTGGTCCGGTCTCAATCGTTGGGCAAACTGCAGTTGGCGCCTCGGCCAAGTGCAGCTGCAATCGAATCAACTACACTTCAAGGACACCACGGTCTTCCATCATGCTTGGCCAGCTGCAACCAGTAGACCATCCCAAAACGCCCAATATTAGATCTACTCTAGAGCAAGCACTGACCTGAGAAACAAACCAATTGTATAAGTTGACCAAGAACACATTTAATGAAACAACGATTACAGATCAAGTATCGAGCATAGTGAGTGTTTTCAGACATGATACAGTACCAAATTTTCTAAATTTCCTTCTATGTGAAATAACAAGACACCCATTCCCCTTCCTCCATCAATCTCAGCCTGGTCATTTGATAAGTCAAGTGTTACAGATATGACAAAATAGAATAATACGTGTATATGTCAAAGACATCTTGAGTACAAATGTACAATACAATTGCTGAGACTTAATTTAACCACTCACCACACAAGAACATATGGTTATGCCTGCAGCGGCCAATGCTGTAGTTACCTCAGCCATCATGCCTGAAAAAATTGTTTACCGGTGAAATAATAGTATGTTTGTTGTGTCGGAGAGGTCATCAACCAGAGCAGACACATACCAGATGGAATCAAAATAACTGTTAAAGAAACAAACACTACAAAATATTCATTTCATCATCCTATCTTTAAGCCATTTTTCTGACCCAATGGATTTCATCTCTGTGACATCACTTCACTCTTATATTATTCGTGTGGAGAAAATGCAGTTAACACATAGTTCATTGGCCACTAGGAGCAGAACATCCATTTAGCTGGCCTGGATGATCAGTAAAAGATTAACATGTATCATATGTTAGTGTAATATTATTATGCGTACCGACTTCTGCATAGCATATCCTCAATCAGTAATATTCACTTACATCTTGTACATCCCGCAAAATCAGATTTAGTCAATATTATCAAATGAGTAAGCTTACCTCTTCGATCTATGCATACAACACACAACCATTGGATGGAGTGCCCTTCTATGTTGTGCCAAGAGGCAATTTTCTGGGCTTGCCAACTTTCTAAACCTGGCAGGACTTCCTTATATCTTGGAGTGTTAACTTGAATCATCTTGGCGACATGGTTTCCCTGCAGCAACATCTCCCCTTTGCTCTTCAAACTTACATGCTGCACATGCTTATTATGTTTTCCATTGACCTTGGGGGTCCAAACACTTCCATTCTTACTTTGGTGGACAGTATCACTTCTTTCAGGAGTTGATATTTCCACTCCATTCACGAACATTTTCCCCAACATATGTTTTGAACCACCGGAACCATTTGACAGTTCTTCAGATTCACTATCCCCTTCAGAATCAGTGACAAAGTCATTCACTGCCTCTGTAGTGATATCAGCAGCAGAACGTGCAGCTTGTTCCCTCAGAAACTACACAAAATATAAAATGTTTAGTTAGAGCACAATTTTTTCAGAGGGAGTGAAATTAAATTCTGACATTTGTCATATGAAATCCTACCTTCATTATTTTGTGTCTTGCACTACGTGTTTTAGCATGTTGCAACCACTGCTTATGCCTCTGAAAAGCTGATTTGCTGGAAAGCGCCTGGTAACAAAGTTATGAGCTCCAATGAAGTGAAAAGTGAATGTATGGTGTAATTGTGACTGACCATTTATATCTATCCGTATAAACAGAAACAATTTCCCTAAATAGCAGAGTTTAAAAAAGGGTAAACAATTGATCATTGTCATGGAAGAAAGATACAAATTATTATGAAGTGCGAACAATGTGGAAATTATAGGGTTTAGGTAGAGAAAGAGGAAGAGAGAGAAAATTAATACTCAATATAAGGTGTGAAATGATGCGTAAAAAATACTAACCCAATAATCTTATTTATACTAATAATTGGGTCAAATACTAGCATAATATTACTAGCAAAAGCCTAAGCCCACTAATACAATAAGTCTACTAATCTTTAACAAGGAAACGTAATGAATATGAAACTTCTAAAATTGCTTCTTCAACGAGATGAATGATTGATTCCACAATATATTCTATGATATTACAAATATATTATGAGGATGTGCTAAGATATTCTAAACTACTCTCAAGATATTCTGAGATATTCTAACAAACAATTTGTGTAAACATATAAAATTGTAAAGAACCAATTCAATTCAAAAGCTTAAACTTTTGGGTGAGGCTATATTAATGGTTCTATATAACTCTAACACGCCCTCTCACAAGAGAGTCCATGGGGCTCAAAAGGTGGATGATACATCAGGCTCAGCCTACATGTGCTAAGAAATTCCACAAAGAAAATGGGGGGCGACGAGGATCGAACCCGAGACACCGAGGTTCTGATACCATGTAAAGAACCACTTCAACCCAAAACCTTAAGGCGTTGAGTGAGGGCCTTTTAATGGCTTATATTATTCTCTAACAAAAATTTAATACCAGAACATTTGACAGCACATACAGATCATAAATGTCATGCTCAATAATCATACAATTTAATAAACATAACACAATATCTTCCTATTTCCACCCTTGCAAAGTAAATTAATATTTTTACATATTCAACGTATAATTACATTCCAATTACATCAGATCTATCAAACTAAATAGAAAACACGAGGTGAGTTGAACAATACTGACATTATATGTGATTATCTCCACTACTTCTGCATTGGCAAGTACACGTGCAGGGGAAACAAGATTACCGTTGACCTGCATTGACACTGATAAGTCACTAATATTACAATAATACAAACATTTTATTTTACATCTATTTTTTCCTGATGGCCGCTTGATTCCAATGGCATGCAAATGAGGGGAGTGATACCTTTGCAGCTACCATCTTGTTGCCAATTTCAGTATGTATCATATAAGCATAGTCAATGACTGTAGCACCCTGAGGAAGATTCTTAATCTGGATATAATATGTAAAAAAAAAAAAAGTATCAAGTAATTGCAGACAGTATTCTGATACAAGCTTCTTAATTATCTTCAATAAATTGAAGGGGAAAAAATAATGACACAATCCACCCTTACCTCTCCCCTCGGTGTAAACACAAAGACACGGCTGCCCAACAGATCTCTTGTAATAGTGTCTACAAATTCCCTAGAACTCATGTTGCCAACAAACTCTTCTTGCCACTCTCTAATTGCATTGAGCCAGCCAATCTGTAGGAAAGGAAATAATTCATTCACGAAATCAGCATCAAGATCATAATTGTTCTTTCTTTTTATTTTTGGTACAAAGCTAAATTTACCATGGGCAAACAGCCTGATGGCATCAAAATTGAGTAATGGATATACTAAGAACTCTCTTTAAAGTATGATTTCTATCATAATATGTCAGGGATAGATAACATACTCTGAGTGCAATGTTGGCATTGTTAAGACACACTGTCTTCCCTCTTGAGCTTTTATTACTGGGCATCACACTTCCAACCAAGCCAGTGACAAATTCTCTCCCACTATAATGAGCAGCAATGCCCCTCTCAGCTATCAAATCCATTTCTTCTGTTCTAATCTGCAAAAATAAATAAATCGCAGGGGACGCACTCATAAGAAAATTTTGTTATGAACTTCATTTGGATCAGCTAGGGCTCAATATACAATTCATGCAAACCCCCAAGGGCACAAAGGCTCCTCGACTTCATAAAGGAAGGGGTGAGTGAGGGTCAATTGCACACAGCCTTACCCTTACATTCTTTGCAAAGAGACTGTTTTTAGACTCAAACCAATGCCCTTCCGATGTTAGAGGAGCAACCTTATCACTGCTTCAAGGCTTGTTTAGGGCTCTATATACAATTACATTATGAAAATAGAACATGCTAAAATAAAATTTAAAAAGAACAAAAAAATATTACCTGGACTTCTAGCCTAAACATGCTCTCATACAAAAATGGAATCACAGTGGTATGAAGACTCTGATAGCCATTAGGTTTAGGGGTTGCAATATAATCCTTCACCTAAAACAAAAACAAATTAAATGTTTCTCATCAGTGAATGAAAATTTGTTTCTCTTAAAATTAACACTTTATACAATCAAATAGAATAAAAAAAAAAACGTACAGATCTAGGAATAGGTGTCCAGATTCCATGGATCAACCCTAGAACATGATAGCATACCTGGAGAAAACATGAAAATGAGAGAAAGGCTTTCTGATATACCAAGTAAAAAGTGAAGCATGTGAAATGGTTACCAGCTGTGGACTGCATAAAGGCCCAACCCCAATGCACGGCTTTGGTTTAATAATAATACGAAGCTGGTTACAACAAACAGTTGATGTTTCAACAAACAAACTTAAAATTTAATCCAAATTCTTTAAAACACATTAAGCATTTCAGGTTAGATATCAAAGCAAACCTGTGCAATTTGATTAATCTCATTGATCAGGCTTTTTGATTTGAGAACAGCTTTATAGATACTGCAAATGACCAGCAATATTTCTTAATGAATAGCCAAAAAAATACCTCTACAAAACAAAGCTAGTATAAAGTACGTAGAAGCACTTTAACCGATAGATAGAATAATATGACTGTGACATGTAAATGTACATGATATCAAACACATTGGCTAACATGAACAGGTGGATAAACAAAATGGTGGCATAGGAACTGAGTTTTATGGTCTAACCCGTAAGGCTCTTTACACACAGAACGGACTTCCGTTTTAACTGTCAGAAGGTCTAAGAATTGATCATCTTGAATTTTCTTCACCAAAATTTTGTTTGCCTATCAAGAAAGGGAGAAAAAGAAGTTTGATCAGTGGATTGCGCTCACACGCAAAATCACCTGGAAAGAGGATTAGTAAAGGGACATACAGAAAGGCGGCATGCAGTTATAATTTTTCTACTTATCTATTTGAACACCAATCTAAGAAAGGCAGACCAGCATTACCTCCAGCAGTTCTTTCTCGTGTTCTTTGTATAGGTCTGCAACTCTTCTCTTCACCTTAGCATAATCTTCAGCATTTGTGTACATAAATGATAGATTTTCTAGTTCTGACTGCATCATCGAAAAAGCATAATTATTGTTAAAGAATAATATAAACCATTAAAAATGTCTTTATCCAATAACTTAAGCTCTTGGTTTGAACTGGTTCTTTACATGGTATCATAGCTTCCGCGACAAAGTGGTCACGAATCAATCCTCACCACCCCTAATTCAGTTTATAAATAACTAAGTATTGTGGAATTTCTTGGCACAGGTAGGTTGGATTTGATGCATCATCCACCCTTCAAGCCCAATGGGCTATCGTGTGAGGGGGCTTCACCCAACAACTTAAGCTTTTGGGTTGATTTGGTTCTTTACATGGTATCAGAGACTCGGTGTCACGGGTTCGATTCTCACCGCCCCCAACTTTCTCTTGTGGAATTTCTTAGCACAGATAGGTGGGTCTGTGCATTGTGCAATGTCCACGCTTCAAGCCCAAAGGGCTCTTCCGTGAGGGAGTGTGTTAGAGAATAATATAAATCATTAAAAAGGTCTTAATCCAATAGCTTAAGCTTTTGAGTTGAATTGGTTCTTTACATGGTATAAGAGCTTCAGTGACCATAAGGTCACGAGTTCGATCCTTACCGCCCCCCACTTTCTAGTGTAATTAAATAAGCACAAGGTAGATAAAAAATTGAGCCTGTGCAATGTCCACACTTCAAGCCCAAAAGGCTTTTGCATGAGGCGGTGTGTTAAAAAATAATATGAATCATTAAAAAGGTTTTCATCCAATAGCTTAAGCTTTTGGGTTGAATTGGTTCTTTACAATTATGAATTATGATACATCAGAATTTCCCTCATGCTATGAAATAAAAGAAAGCATGAATGCTATCCTGAATTGTACTCGAAATATGTGGACTTGTGGCATTGCAGGAACAAAACATGAATGCTAGTCCTTAGTGATTGTGTAATTATAGTATACCTTAATTTGATACATCCCAAGTAACTTTGCCAAAGGAGCAAATACTTGTAATGTCTCCATTGCAATGCTAGTCTGTACACAATATATTAATGTTAGAAAACCAATAGGAGAAAGGCTTATCGCAATCTCAACCTATTTGATACATGTATACATGGGAAGGATTAACTTACATCGGTGTAAGTCTAATAAGTCTTCCACCCATTTTTAGTCATTGATCCATCTTGTACCTAATGTCTCTAATTTATTAATCATGTGAGCCGTTAGATGCAAATTGGATCAATGATTGATAATGGTTGCAAGTTAATCCTCCTTTCTATATATATGTGTGTGTGTGTGTGGTGTATCTAATGTCTCACGTGAGCCGTTAGATGCAAAAGGGATCAATGACTAATAATGGGTGCAAGTTGATCCTCCTATATATATGTATGTGTGTGCGTGTGTGTGTGTGTGTAAAACAGGATTAAATGGTAATACTACTATAACGTTGAAGACATAAACACCTTACACATATTCAGTACTCGATATTATGTCATTTTTTACAAAAAAATCAATGACAATAACATAATGCAGTAAAGGACACTCAAAGAAAAAGATAGTTCTTCTTCATAAACAATGAAATTTACTTTCAGTTTCAAGGCAGTGAAGATTAACTAAAAGTGGCCTAAATGGATTTATAAATCTCACTTTCAACGTCAGAGAGAACAGATGCTGCTCAAATGCAATATTTCTATCAAAAAATCCGTAACTTTACTTGATTGCAAGACCATTTTTGTATGATCCCAAAGTAAAAGGATGGCAAGGCCATAATAGTTTCCTTCCTTTTGACAGAACAGAAAAGAGTCACCAGTTGGTTATTCAAACCAATGGAACTAACCTGTTTATGTGGGGGCATATGTGATAGGGTGCGCATGTTATGTAACCTGTCTGCCAATTTGACAATAATAACACGAACCTGTAATGACAAATTTATTAGTTGCCAAACCCCTATGAATATAGAATATACTAAGAATAGACAAGCATCCATAATTTAAAAGAGCTCACCTCCTCTGTCATAGCCAGAAACATTTGCCGAAGATCCTCTGCCTTCACATCTATAACGGAATCATTTTCATTCTTATACTTCAACTTTCCTAGCTTTGACACCTAGTTAGGATTTAGAATGTAGCATACATCCAATTAATTTGGTAAATTTATGAATATGTCACCAAAGCTATTGGGGATTACAGATATTTCATAAATACATTACAACCACGATTCAAGAATAATAAGTACCTTAGTCTCTCCTTCAACAATGTGGCGCACAGTAGAACCAAATTCCTCCTCTATTCTCTCAAAAGTAACAACATTTGTATCCTCAACTGTATCATGTAGTAATCCAGCAGCAATCGACTCCCAATCAAGTTCCTAGAGGAATGGTTGATCCATTACAAATATTGACTTGTTACACATATTTATATGTACAATTTACCAGAAGAGGAATCATTTCTTCATGACTCACAAGTTCTCCAAGAATACGTGCCACCTCAACTGGATGAATGATGAAGGGCTCACCACTGCGTCTTTTCTGACCATCATGAGCTTCAAATGCTAACTGTAACAACCATGGATAAAACAGAAACAAAACAAAAAAGTAAATACTACTATGTTGAAGAAAAGATTTTGCCAGAAAGAGCATGTTAAGATTGCTTCTTGAGGTAGTCAGCTTACCATAAAAGCATTATGGACTAACTCCAGTTCTTTAGAGGACAGGTATGAGATCACAGGTTTAAGATCCTGAGGCAATCAGATGATAGACAGTATGACTCAGACTCTAGCAAAGGACATCCCCGTTTGCAGAGTTACAATCAACAATAGACATGCCAGGTTCAGAAAAATTCAGGACTGTACCTCCCACAAATTTTCAGGGGAAAACTCACTGGCAGTATCCAAGGAGAAGGCTGAAGAACAACATAATTGCCACCTTCTAGGAGCAACTTGAGACAAGATAGATCTAGAGAATCCTTCAAGAAGTACGATATCAAGTGCTTCATCGGGATACGAACCTACTATACTAAAGGCTTCGCATCCCTGTCAGTTTGCAAGAATGACAAGTAAACCTAATTAGTAACAATGATAATATCTAAATAACAGATAAGCAACATTAGAACATCAATTGTAACTTCTATTTTGACTTAATACGAACACAAGGCAAAAAGGGTCAGGAATGGATTCTCTCATATCTCTTTTTAAAAGAAATAAGGTGAACACTTCATGTGAAAAATCTCAGCCATTTTTTGACAAATCAACGGTCACAATTCTATCGACAAAGCTCATAAAACGACAAAGGCGGAGAAATAGTCATTTAATTGCTGGGCGTTAAACTATCAATGAATGACTGAGATTTATCATATAATAGTGGTCACGTTAAAAAGAGACATGATAAGATTTATTCCCACAAAGGTCATCTCTATGCAACATCAACCTCCTGCCCCGAAAAAGAAGAGACCCGAAATAATCAATTCATTATTCCCATCCCAACTTTCAGCATCCCTAATGTTAAGTCAAAATTGGGAGTACTAAAACGATTCGAAATACCAAAACGCCAAGGGAAACTGCTAAAACTTACAAAATTATACCGGTTCCTTCTTCCATTTCGCCAATTCGACAAGGATGAACACTGATGAGGATGAGCCGTGCTCGCAAGAAACCCAGTAAGGACCCTAGGAGCTTTCCACGCGCACGATAGAAGACTACAGTCGTATCTTCCACTTCCATCCCCTCTCCATAGCTTGCATACGTTCACGCATTCTAAAGAAACTGCAAATACACCTTCACTTAAAAATCACACTTCCAAAATTTTCACTTCTACTAAAAAAAAAACGCCAACAACGAATGAACCAAATGAAAAAGAACATCCAGTAAGATACTAGAAAAATTCGCGATGCACCAATTGGTCGAATGTGAAATTGCAAAGGGGAAAAAGAATCTTGGACGGCTTAATAAAGTTGAACCTAGGCATTAGGCAAAGTACATAGTTGAGCACACAAAGTTCAGTGTTGCTCACATTTTTCTTGACAACCTTACACACATGCACATACATAGCTATAAAAACCGAATATTCTGAGATGCAGGTTTTAGTGAAGGTTTTTGTTGGCGGGAGACGTACCTGACATGGAAGGTGCAGATGCCATTGAAACAGAGTAATCTCATTGAATCTTGAATCCCAAGAGCGTGTGGAATTGGAAGCAACCGAATGATAGGGTCATTGAATTATGGAAGAAAAGGAAAGAGAAGTGAATCAGAATTAGGGAGATGATGTGATTCAAAAGAAGTGGTTATGTTATGTCGATGAAAGGAGGAGAGGCTTAGGCAAGGAAAGACAGACAGATAACAAACACCAGCTAAGTAGATATCCAGTTTAGCCGAGGCCACACAACTACCGTTTCATTAAGATATTTTTCTCTTTCTCCTCCTTATATATAAATATTTGTACAAGAGGATTTTTTATTTTTTGTCATTTTCTAAATTTCTCAGGTTCAAGTTTAACTAGGGTTTTTAATTGTTATATATATTCATTAGGATATATTTTTCTTATTTTGTAAGAAAAAAGTTACCTCGTGTTATAGAAATAAAAATATAAATGAGACTCACAAGTAAGAGGAGAGAAAAAAAATATAGTGGGATCCAACCTCTTTTTATGTGTATAAGAAGGTTATTTATCTCATATAAAATGAACGATATAAACATAACTCATATTCATTAATACGAGATATCAACTTAAAATACAAACACATCTATTCATTTAATTTCATTTGTACTCATTTTCTTAATAAACCTTTCATATATATAATTAGAGAAGGGGTGTGTTTCTTTTTAAAGTGGATATGATATATAATAAGTAGCACTGAAAATATTCTCCCATAGTACAACAGATTTTATTTTATTTTATTTTTGTTAAGTTTTTGAAAATTAATGAGTATTTATTTATGGTTATAAATAAAATAATTATTTATACTTAAACCTTTAAATGAGTTATTAAAATCGATAGTATATGATTAAAAAACACAAGATTAAACACTAGAATAAAGAATTCTCGTACATAAATATTTAAATAAGGTCAAACTTTTGCACTTATCTGTAACTAGATCTAAATATAATTATTCAAAATTTAAAATTTTATATTGATAAACAATTAATAATTTCATTTGAAATTTTCATTAAAATTAATAATTTGCTTTGGAAAAAAAAATCCTCCGATGTTGTAAACTTCTTATTGTTAATACAGAAGCCTTTGTCATCTACCGAAAAGAAAACAAGAAAAAGCCTTTGTCAACTTATTTTTCATTTTAGTAATTGGTAAAAAAGTATTTATTATTTACCAAAAAAAGTATTTATTGACAAATATAGTCAAACAGATTCTTTTTTTTTGGTAAACATAGTCAAACAGATTCTATTATATGTGTCGATTATATTTACTTTACATATTTTTTTTATTATAGAGTATAATAATACGTTGATATTTAAAGTATCTTTTTTATAAATATTATACTTATACTTAGTAAAATTGAATAATTATACTAAGTATAATAAAAAAAAAATTAAGAGAGAAGGCATAAAAATTCAATATAAATCAGTGTTATCAAACCGGACGTACTCGGTCGGGTCGACTCGGGAACCGATAAATCGGTCATATAACTGATTTGGTTGAAGCAACGGATCAGTTATGCATCAGAATTGGTGTGACCCGGTCTGACCTGTCCGGTTTTCATGAAAACCGATGACCCGGTCAGTTAACCGGTGATCCGGCCTGGTCCAAAAAAAAAATCATAATGGACATATTTGAATATTTTTTTTGCTTATTGACTTACATAAGTTATGTACTTACAACACTAATATTATCTCAATTATGCACTATGCAGAAAATTTTGATTTTATTTATAATTAAAGATGTCGTTTTCTTAATCTAAAGTTCCGTATCACGATCATTATATTTTTGTTTGATCTTTTATTGGATAATAATATGTCATTTATTATTTTTTATATTAAAATATTTGAAATTTTTATCATTTTTTTTAGATATTTGAGTATGTTTATAATTTTTTAATATAAATTATAAAATTACATATAATTACCGAGTCATGCGGTTGAACCAGTAACCCACTGGTTAAACCAGTGACCCAATAACCCAATACCTCGACCGGATCAATGACCGAGCCGGTTTTAATAATATTGATATAACCATACCAATCATTAAATTAGACATTTCTGTTATCACGACAGAATAATTTTTCTACTAAAATTCTTTATATATGTTATCTTTATTGCCTTGGAGCAGAGAAAAAAATTGAAGTACCTCTTCTCCCTCAATTTGTTGTTTTTTTTTTTTTTCCAACCAGCGATACCGTGGAGGTTAACAAAATTGTAGCAAGATACTTAAGTAATTTGCATAAGATTATAAACTCAAACCCTTATTATAGGTAAAATTTAAATTGTTTGTATGATATTATAAGTTTGAAATTAATATACTTATTGTATAAAAAATAATAATAGCAAAAATAAGAAGTATCGTGTGTTAAGTCAATAATTAATATTAATGATGATAAAAGAGGAGCAGGGGTGACAGACTTTATGCAGAGATTGAATGTCCGCAGTCGCGTTTTCAATTAACATTCGAATTTTTCAGTCTGCATTTATCGACTATGAGCCCGTTTTTTTGAACTTTTCAAAAAAATAATTTTTATCTCTTCTTTATTTTAGAAGTGCTTTTTATAAAAGTTAAAGCTATTTATATTTTTATAAAAATATTTAATTTTTGAAAAAAAAATTAACTTTTGACTTTTACTTTTTTCAAAAGTTAAATTTTTTAACTTATAGAAAAAGTAGATTTTTGACTTTTTTGTGACTTCTGTTTTTTTTTAAAACAGACATCCAAACGAACTAAAAATGAGAAGTGCTTTTTTCTTGAAAAAAAGTAGCTTTTGAAGAGAAAAAAAGTTCATCCAAACGAGTGTTCAAGGAGGGGAAGCCGAGGTTATGACTTTAAAATGGAACCTTCACACATGTGTATTAAATTGGTGCCTTGTCATATTTAATGTCTTACTTATATACCCGCGGCCATTTCAGTGGAGAGTTCACTGCTAAATGACCTGTACTCTCACTCGTGCAGCTTGTAGAAGTGAATAATTAAAAACCTATGGCGCCCACTATGATGCTCTTGTCTATTTTTTTTTTAGTATATGCTCTTGTCTATTTTAGCGAAGTTATTTAAATAATTTTCTCCTTTTTTTAAAATGAAAATTCGAATAGTTTTAAATAATGGTTGCTCTTTAGAAGTTAGAACTCATAATAGCATAAGAGTTTAGCTTAAGAAAATAAGCAAGTGCACATGGACTGTTGTTGGCTTTTGATCCCCTCTTCTTGTCGGTGACTGTCAAAATATACCTTCCATTATAGAAAGCATCTATCACCCCCCTATTTATGATTAATTTTTAACTCAAATTTTCCTCATTATTTACAAGAATGTTTTGTATTAGATAAATTGGAAGAAGAATTTTAGGAATTTATGCCATTTATGCTGCTAGAGTTGGAATGCCACTTCTTAATTCTTATTTTACAGAATACAATAAGAGATTGGTTAAGTACCTTACCTATCCTGGATCGCGCTGGTCATTTGCCCCATATTCTTTCTCTCTTTACAGTTGCAACACATGGAAGCACCATAGGTAACCTTGCAACATTCATTCATGATATACTATCTAAAAGTCACCTCTTTTTCCCCTCTTGGCCCGTCAAGGCAATGCAAGTAGATGAAACGTACCTTGTTTTTTTTAATCTGTTCCTCACTTATTCTATTTGGTATCCGGTCCCCAATGGATATTGACTAATTCGAATTCGAGCCACACAAAATCACAAATACCATAAAACTCTTCGCATTGATATATCTGCGTGATAAAATTCTCAACCTTTGGATGAGATCAAGCATATTCTACTTCATCTTGTATGAACCACTATGAGATATAGGATGATTCCAACTCATCGTCTTAAGAAAGACCGAAAGAGGTTTTTTTTTTTTTTCTTTGAAAAAATCGTAAGAACAATATTTGTTATTAAATTCATATTAATTAGTTCGGTAGATGAAAGAGATAAATTATTTAGAGTCATCACTAGTTACTTAAGGATATGTGTGACAAAGATTTTGTTCTGTGATATTGTCCCTGAAATTTTTTATTTTTTATTTTAATGCTTAGGAAGGATTTTCGGACAAAAAATATATTTAATAACATAATTTATTTTTATACCCAAAGAGAAAATGTGTATTCAATATATAGTGTTTTTAAAAAATAATGTGTATTTTATGTTAATAGCATATTCCATGATGTCTATATGTAATAAATAGTGTGTCACGGAATAATTTTTTTATTTTATTTCTATCCACTTATGTTTTTATGCAACCATTAATTCTCTAAATTAAAAAAATAAATCAATTTTATCGAATGTTATTTCTACTATTTCTGTTACCCATACTAGAAATTAACTTTAAAACATGAGTCGCAAGTGTTTCAACCCACAGTGTATAGGAAAACTAACAAATTTACCAAAAAAAAAAAACTAAAACTAAAACTAACAAGAGTACTTAATTGCCTTGTTAGATAAAGCCACTCTCAAGACTTCGGCTTGCACAGTTGCACGTTTAGTTGGTACTTGGTAGAATGCACCAAATAACCTTTTATTGACCCCCTCTCTGTCTATCAGTATAACAAGTATTTAAAGGTCAAAATAAAAAAGACTAAATAATAAATATTTATTTGGTTCCATTTTTCTTACAAAAAAAAATTAGCTCCAACAATTTATTATAATTATTTATTATCCATAATACATAATTATAATGGTAAAAAAAATTTTTTTCTTCTTTATGCAACGTCAACCAATAATATTTGAAGAGAGGTAAAAAAAACAGATTTAATATTATAACTATGTAAAATCTGTAATACATAATTATAATGAGTTGTTGCAGATAACTTTTCTTTGCAGCAACATAAGACGATGATTTCTCATATTCATTCCTTAATTTGTTTTTCAATTACATTTCTCATATTCATTCCTTAATTTGTTTTTCAATTACAGTGGTCTATAAATATTTTTAATTTCTCACAACATAATTATAAGATAAATCTTAGGCAAACCTTCTCACAACATATACCGAAACTTTATAAAGGAAGATGGGTCGCTTAAAAATAATACCCATATTATGGTTTTATTTGAAAACAACATTATAGACACTTAATAAACTTTACCTAAGTTTTATCCATATAATGAGTTTAATTTCAATGCATTATCAACTTAAGATGATTTTACAGTATGTGCTGTTATGTTATGTAACAAGTTTGACATTTTAAAATTATAGCCTGATAATA